ATAGCTATTTTTTGGTTATCGTATCCCATAATCCTACTATTTCAATAAAGCAGGGAACTAGAAATTAGCCTAATCCACAGTGCTCATTTGTTAGTGTTTAATCCTTTTTGTCTTTCTTTTTTTTGGCTGTGCAAACTGTTACCTTTGTTAGCTATCTGCTATCTTATCTATCCTACTGGTTAGTGTGGGCAATAAAGGTTGAACTTAAGAGCTCTCAATTAAGGGCACAATACTTACATTCTATTGCCATATTTGGATCCATTCCTTCAACATCAATAAGGTATCTTAACAACAATAAATAAAAAAGAAGAAAACTAACATAAGAAAAAATTATAACACAGTGAACCTCATTCAGTAGACTTCAGTATAATAGACCATAAACAGAACAAATTCACTCTCAGATTTACATCATCTGCATGATGTAAATTTAAGGGGAAATTCGGTCTGCTGAAAACTGAGATCCAATAAAATAAGGCTTTATGCAGTTTATATCAGTTAATATTTGTGCAATGATGTAATTATACAAATGAGATAAATGAGCACAAACAGCATCATTTGTAGGACGTCATCCCTTATTACTCCATGGAAATGAGGTCTCATAACACTTGTTTAAAAATTGGTTCAGTTTTAAAAATACATTAATTGCATTACAATTGAATATTTACTGTGCATTAAAAACCAACAGAAATAGAGAATTAGACATATCACTTTTCTAAATAAAAAAACTTGTCATCTTCTTCTCCTATCCTTTCTTTAGTTGTTCATTTATAGTATTAAGACTAATGTTTCTAGCGGAATTATAATTAACTGAGCTACAATCCAGTTTAAATAACATTCTATCAACTGAAGATAGACATAAACTGACATTTCTGCAGCCGATATGAATTTTCAAATCAAACCAGCAGAGTCACCTGTTTCTTAGAAAAATTTACCTGCAAACAAGATAACCTGTTCGATTCAAGCCATGTGTACAGTGGACGCCAATAAGTTTGTCTGAGGAGATAGGAAATGCAAATAGTGTCTTTGTAAAAGCCCCACCACAGAGATAATTTTAATTTTTAGCTGCTTTTATACATGAACAAATCACAGAGCCGAGGTGGCGCAGTGGTTAGAGTGCAGTACTGCAGGCTACTTCAGCTGATTGCTAGCTGCAGTTTGGCAGTTCAAATCTTACCAGCTCAAGATTGACTCAGCCTTCCTTCCTTCCAAGGTGGGTAAAATGAGGTCCCAGATTGTTGGGGGCAAGAGGCTGACTCTGTAAGCTTCTTAGAGAGGGTTGTAAAAGCACTATGAAGTGCTATATAAGTCTAAGTGCTATTGCTATATCTGGTTTTTTCATGTACTGCAAGAGGCAGTCGTATTGATGGGCAGACTGCCTTGGGATGGTCCACAAACAGGTTTAGGGATAGAATTTTGGGGGTTTAATGTATAATTCTGTTACGAAATCAAAATGTTTGCACATCAAATCAGACTCACCATTATGCTGGTTCTCTTTGAGGAATTTTTTCACAGCGCTTTTGAATTTAGAAACTATAGCATTATTAGGTACTTCATGTCCAATTGTTAAAATTTTACAATATTGCAGAGTATCTGGTAGCTCCTAAAAGAAAATGTAAAGCATTTGAAATAATTGAAATGAATATCCAAACAGCCACTTAAGAAAAAATAAATCAGCTCAATAAAGCAGGCAAAAAAGGACAATGTGTTTTAATTATTATATTCAGGAAACCAACTTAAAAACCCCTTTTCTCAAAATTCCTTCTGTCATCCCAAAGCAACGACTGTATTAAGAATTAAAGTCATATAACTGATCCCTGTTAAAGGAAACTCACCATTGGCTCATAGTAGCGTTTTGTGTATGTTAAATCAATGATCAAACCAAGTTCTTCTTTTTGCTCTTTGACTTGAGTGATGAGGTCCAAGGGAGAAAAACGCTCATCTGGGGCAAGTCTCCATTCAAAACTCTGGGAGAAAAAAAATATTCCACGGTGCTGCTAAATTGTCAAGATACTCTGATAGATATCAGAAGCCAAGCAGAAGCCAGCTGCATTTGCATAACCTTATGTAATTTGAGTACAGACAGTTCTTAGTTAACCATAATTTGGAAGGGAATTCCATCATTAAGTGATAATTGTTATAAAGCAAATTCAACCTCTCTAATTATCCAATTTACCACTAAAGCAATGAAATCTGGATCACAGCCCAATGCCAATGAAAATAAATAAAAAAATTCTGCCCAAATGACTGTACAACTGAAGTTGAAATGTGTAATGGAATGTGCAAATTATGTTGGGGGAATAGAGGGCGGCAAGATATGCTACCTAGGAAATAATCAGACAAGTGAGAGGAGCCCCCCGCTCCCCCCCTGCCTGTGACAATGGTCAGGGAAAGAAACTTCGGAAGGACCCGCCTGAATGGATCAAGCAGCTAAAAGTGGAGGCGGAAAGTGCAAGACTCTGTTAATGTGACCTTACAATCAATAATGTAAAATTAGTTGATCAGATCCCGTTTCCTGTCTGGTTACCTGGGAGGTCTGCCAGAATGTCAAACATATAAATCTGACCTAGAGACAAGAAAAGGAGGCCTTGGACAGCCATCAAGTTTGAATAGCCAGTAAATATGAACAAAAACTGGCCTCCAAAACGTCTCCCTAATTAATATTGTCAATGTTCAGGCTGAAATTTACTCCATGGAACCCAAAGTATCTGTAGCACCCATCAATGTCCAGATAAATTTATTTACACTACTTTTATGGCACTTTAATCTACTTAACTCTGTAGCTAACAAATTCACTAATTTAAATTTGCTTTTAAAATATTACTTTCCCTTGGAAAGAAATCTACAAATTGCTGATATACTGCCAGGAAATCACCTGCCCCCAAATGACATTTTTATCTTAAAAAGGATAAAACTGAAAAGTTAAAGCGGTTGAGTGACTACATTCTTCACCTTACTTACTTTCTTAAGAGGAACTTTAAAGGCAATAAAGCGGGTCCCAGACATTCTTTTTCCAAGAGGCAGATAATCAGTCCATCTAGAAAGGAAACTTCACAATGTGTTGCTTTTGCTTCAATGTGATTAGGACAGAGTTGCAGTGAGGAAGGATAACATAGAAGCTGACAACTCTTTTGAGGTACCGAATACATTTCAAACATAGGCACTTTTAGAAAACAGCTGTCAAACACTCATTTCAAACGAGAAATCAAACTAATAATGTTATTCCCTGAAATTATGTCTTACCACCCCAAATTATTTTTGTCTTTTTTTTTCCTGAGCAGGTAGACATATTTCCAAAGGAAACATTCTGCTGCACCTGATTCATGAAAACCACCTCCAGTTGACGGATCTGTCTTGCCAAGTCAGCCCATCCAGCTCAGGAGGCCCCTCCGCTCACTGCTGCTGAATGGCTCGGTGCACTTAGCTGCAGCCTTGCCCTTCCCCTTGAAGGAAAGGAGGAGCTCATGAATCCTGCACAACACGAAGAGGAATGGTAGTGCTGAAGAATTGTTGAGAAACACCCCACGCCATGCCAGTGAGAGAACTGGGAAGCGTCTCCTGCCATCTGACATTTTCTCACCTACAGAAAGATGCCCATGCAGATTCTCCATTCACTTTAACTCTTAGCAGCACACTATGGACTGACAACAAGGGATCACAAGCAGTCCTTATTTAGTAACCAAGATTGGGACCAGCGGCACTATGGCTAAGCAAAGTGGTCGCTAAGTGGGAAATCCATTCCCCCCCAGAATGCTCAGCACAATGCAGGGATAGCCAGGTTGGCAGCTCCAGCCTGCAACTGAAAAGGTTAATCAGGTTTTACCCCTCCTGTTTTTTTTTTTTTAATTTGATTTATATGCCGCCCTTCTCTGGAGACTCAGGGCGGCTTACAATGCGCTAAGCAATATTTTATTTGCCTCTTAATCACTTTAATTCACCTTCCCTTTTTCCCCACTGTCCCACGCTTTGGAATGTGCTGAAATAGTTAGCAAGAAAGGAATTGTTTGTATTTACATTCACTGGAGAGGAAGTGAATGTGGTGGCACAGCAGACTGATAGCATTGTGATTAACATTCAGCTGCCTGCAATTACTGCAAGTTCAAATCTCGCCAGGTTCAAGGTTGACTCAGCCTTCCATCCTTTCTAAGGTAGATAAAATGAGGACCCAGATTGTGGGGGCAATAAGCTGACTTTGTATAAATATACAAAAGTATGAAGGCTATTACTTAGCGCATTGTAAGCCGCCCTGAGTCTCCGGAGAAGGGCGGCATATAAATCCAATTTAAATATATATATATATTTAAGGGGCACCTAAGGGGGAATGCCCTGGGCTGTTTATGCAGGGCACCAGCACGTGGCTTTCCAAGGTTGGGAGACCCCTGGCCTAAAGGCGTCTTATAGGATCCAATGTGGACCGAGCAGTTCCAGTTTGAAGCTTCCACTCCGACTGAAACTACTGAGGCAAAAGGAGGAGGAGGCGGCACCGTCGCTAAGCGGAGCCGTCGATAAATCGGCCGCGGGGAGGAAATCAGGGTTAGGGTTGATGCCCGGGGAAGCTTCCTTCCTTCCCCCCCCCCCCGAACACCCGCCCGTCCCCATCGCTCACCTGTCGGGCAGGCCGTTCCGCCGCTTCCCCATGGGCCCCCTCGGGCCGCCGCCGCCCTCGCCCCGCCCGTCGCCGCCGCCGCCGCCGCCGCCTGGACGCTGTTGCCCGGGAGACCCGGCCTCCGCCGCTTCCGGCTTCCGGCCGTGGGCGGACCCAGAGCTTCCGGCGCGGCCCTGCCAACCGCCTGGGCGCAGGGGCGGCACCCGAGGGACTCCCACCGCCACGCCGCTCCCGCCCTGCGCAGCGCCACCTGCAGACGGGCCGAGGTAGCGCGCATGCGCCCAGCCGCCTTCGGCCTGCTCCTCCGGCCAGGACAGCCGTTCGGGCCCCCCCCGAAAGGGAAGGCCCAGCCTGCCGGCCCGCGCGCCCAACCTGCCTCCGGAGCCGAACGCCATCGCCGCCGCCGCCGCCGCCGCCGCCCTCGCCCTCCTCCTCCTCGCGCCTGCGCAGACGCGCGAGGCCTGGCCGGGTCAGTCACGCCGTGGCGGCGTCGCCGCCCTGTTGCTCGGCTGAGGGAGCAGGTGAGAGTCGCTTCCGCCGGGGAGGGAGGGAGGGAGGGAGGGGGCGGCGTAGTCCTCGACGGGAGCTGTAGTCCGGGAGGGGCCTGCGGTCTGCACATGCTCAGGAGCGCCCACGCCCCCCTCCCCCTCCCCCACCTCACCTCACCTCACGTCGGTTGGGCCCCGCTGGGCCTCCCTGCGCCGCCCTTTCCTGCTCGCCTCGCCCGGCGGGCGCAGATGGAGGGCGGCCCCGTGGAAGCTCTGGCGCCCTTCCTCGGCTCCTCGCTTTCCCGGGGGCCCCTGTGGCCGGAGGGGCCTGGCTGGTGGGGGGAGAGCGGGCGGGGGGGGCTTTGCTGGCCGCTGCAGGGCTCCCCCTCCCCCCCATCATCCACGCCAAAGAGGGCAGCCCGTGGGGGGGGGTTGGGGTTGCAGCCACCGAGGCATCTTTGGCCCCCGGAGGCTGCGAGGTCTGGGCCGGCCCAGAGGATGCTTCCTGCGCCTCCATCCCTCCATCCCTCCAGGTAGCCCACCTCTGACTCCTCCTGGGCCAGCAGCTCCTGCGGAGGCTTTGCCCAGCTTTGCCTGGAGCAGGAGGATCTGGTCCTCACCTGCACAGGTGTTGCCCAGGGAGGCGCCTTCAGAGACCTGGCGAGGGCTGCCTTTGACCCACTCAACCCACCTTCAGCAGCAGAAACTCTTTCACACCTGCTACCTTGGTTGCCCGGCTGCTCCTAGGGGCCATTTAAACGGGGCCGGTGTGTTGAGTGCAGGACGTGATCTGTTGGAGCGGATGCTTCCTCTGCCATCGGCCCAGCCGATTTGATTTACCTGGGAGAGGCTGGGCTGCATTGCGGCCTCAGTTCTCGGCTGTCCTAGAGGGCATTTGGGTTGCGATTCCCTCCGGTTGGATGAGAGTTCGGCTTTTTTAACTAATTGCGTGCTATTTTTTTTTTTTAACATTTGTATCTTAGGATCTATTTCATTGAACATTTTATCTCGAAATTGCAAAGGGTAGTTCAGAATTGTAGCAGCCTGTGATTAATCAGTAAATGAATCCGGGCTGCAGAGAACGCAGTCCTGGTTTGCGTTTTTTCACGGGCTGCTTGTTCATTCATTCGTTCTTCCTTTCCAGACAGGACGATGTGCAGCTTCGAGAGCAGGTTGTGTCATTGCTGAAACACAAAGACTGAAACATGTCTTATCGAGGGAATGAGCGTGATTTTCAAACCTCGGCACGGAGGATGGGGACCTCTCTGCTTTTTCAGCTGTCGGTCCACGAGCGGGAACTAGACTTGGTCTTTCTGGACCACAGCTATGCCAAGCCGTGGAGTGCCCACCCTGATGCCAGTAATGCTCGTCCCACACGCCTGCTGTTTGTCACTCCCAAGCGACATCAGGATAATAGCGCTGCGTGAGTTGTCTCTTTTTTTCTCTGCCTTCTGTGTTGAGCTGAACATCAATGGGGCCAACGTCGTACATATTGGGCCCATGTTGTTTTGAGTACTGTACGTATTGTCTGCGTGCTGATTTTCTTTAAGCTCATAAGCCATTAAAGAGGAACAGATGGTTTCAAAATGCTCCTTATCTTGAAACTGCAATATCTCTTTTCCAGGGAGGCCGATGTTCCTATCGATGTAGAAACAGTGACACCAACACCTGTGCCCCTCTATGACAACCAGAAGGCCCGAACTGTGATGAATGAGTGTGAACGCCATGTGATTTTTGCCCGTACAGACACTGATACACCACCTCCACCTGAGGACTGGGAGGAGCATATGAACAGGTATAAAAATGAGTGGCAGGGATCACGGAGGAAAGCCATTAGAAGTTCTGCTTATGTTGCCTCTGTCTTGATGGTGTTGTTTCTGATCCTGAGTATAATTTGGGGATATTATAATGTTAAGAGTTGTAAATTTATTTTGAATTTCAAAAGATGGTTTCTAGTCATCTCAGATTATACTTTGAACTATGCATCGTTCTAATCATGTTAATTGATGATTTGTTAATTGATGATTATATTTTATTATAATAATGATAGTGTGTGATAAGTATAACTCTGCTCATCATATAAAATCATACTATACTGATCAGGTGTAGTTTGATGGGGTCCTTGGTGCTCTCTGAGCGTGCTTGCTTTTCTTGTTTTCATTACCCTAACTAGGTTACATGATCAGGGCTAGTAAGGAGTGCTAAATCAATATATTCTGGTGCCTTGCCTGTCTTTGTTGGTGGGGGGGGATCGTAGGGATTCTTTGTTTCGGCTGTTTACTAATGGCTCTTCAGCAGTTTCTTGATTGTGGTGTTGTTTACTTGATTGTTCGTCTGATGTTAACCTTGGAGATCATCCATGCTGATCTGGGTGCTGATTCCTAGTGGAAGTCCTTTTGTTCCCTTTTGGGCAGGTTGATTGTCTCTTTTGCATAGTCAATAGATGTTGTTAATGTCTATAGATCTATTGATGACTGATTTATCAGAGTGCCAGGCTTTTAGAAATTCCCTGGCATTTTTGGATTTGGCCTGGTCCACGATAGTTACATTTTTCCAATTGAAATATGGTTAAATCTGTCTATATGTTGTGAATTTTTCATCATGTCTTCTGACAGCCAGCTGGTGTTCATGGATGCATTTTGCCAGTCTTCTACCTGTTTGTCCTACATGGTGGTTGTTGCAGTCCTTACAGTGTACGCTGTAGATGACTCCTGTTTTTTCTTCTGGGGTTGCTGGGTCTTTTGAAGGGCTTCAGTTGGCTTGTGTGCTACACCAATTCCATGTGGTTGTAGGAATCTGTAGTTGTAGTTGTAGGTTAGAGAGAAGCATTATAGGAACCCTGAGCACACATCTTAAAAGACTGTTGTTTGATGGGAAAAGTGGGAGGAAGAGACTAGAATTTTAATCCTGGAGTAAACGTTTACAACAAGGAGACAGGTCTCATGACTCTGGGACTGGCCTCTAATGAAAAAACTTGTCTAGCTATCAGGTTGGCGGTACACTGAATATGTGTACAGCCAATCTGGGGATATACTATAATAGCACTTAGCAATAGCACTTAGACTTATATGCTGCTTTCCAATGCTTTCCAGCCCTCTCTCAGCAGTTTACAGAGTCAGCCTGTTGCCCCCAACAATCTGGGTCTTCATCATGCCTCTCTCTAACCTGGGAATTGCTGGTTCCTGCCTTACCAGCTGCAGCTCTTACTGTGACTTCCATGGTAGAAGAAATATGGGGTGTTAATGTACTAAATGAATCAATACAACTTAATGCAGCTGGGCTACTCTGGAGAAAAATACTTTAAGTATACTACTAATATTTAAATGGAAAACACTTCATTGCCACGACATGTGGATGGCTATGGGCTTCCTCCGGGATGGGGGCACCCGTGCACAAACCCCCACGTGCTGCGGCTTTAGGAACCAACATTTTGAGCTGCCCTTCCACTTGGTAGGCCCAGCCTGATCATCCAGTTGGGAAAGGGCAGCGGAGCCTTGCGGTCACTTCCTCAAGGTTCCAGCAATTGCCTCAAGGCAGTAGAGGTCAGGTTTAAATAAATCATCGTTCTCCATGTTTAGATGTGCAGCAAACCTTTGAAGGTGTAGGCTTGCTGTTTCCTTGTCTTTGCCTGCAAAAACAAGGGCAGAAGTAGATTTTCTGTTAGCCTGACACAAGCATGAGTTAGAAACTTCTGATGCAGTCCTGAGTTTTTTTTCAGGAGCCGGACTTTATAATGGAATCTTTCCTTTACAGATCTGGCTGGACAATGGCCCAAAACAAGCTGTTTAATAAGATCCTCAAAGCCTTGCAGTCTGACCGACTGGCCCGATTAGCTAACGAAGGGGTAAGACTCTCCTGCCTCTTGCTCCTTTCCCACCTGCTTTCCCCGCGTTCTGCACTTGCAGCTGCTCCATCAGCTGGTGCCGGAATACAAAGCGTCATCCCTATTTGGTTTAATCCCTACCTTCTATCCCCTTGAATCCGGATGCTTCTGTTTTACCACCAAGCTTGAAAAGAAGGGAAGGGCTGCGAGACCATAACTTAGTGAGGATGTTTTTTCTTGGTTGCTTTTCACAAGGCTTGCAATGAGCCAGTGCTTCGAAGAATAGCGGTGGACAAATGTGCTCGGCGGGTCCGACAGGCTTTGGCAAGCATCAGTTGGGACGCCAAGCTGATCCAGTGGCTTCACTCCACTCTGGTAGAAACACTCAGTCTGCCAATGCTGGCTGCGTACCTGGATGCCCTGCAGACCCTCAAGGGAAAGGTGATGGGAGGGAAGTGCTTAGAATAGAAGCGAGGGGTGTTTTTTTCCCCAGGCCTTTGATTTCAGGGTCCCCAAAATAGGAAATCCTCTCGTTTTTGACAATAGAACCCAAAGTGCCGGTTCTGACATTGTACAGGTAGCCCTTGACTTCATGACCATAATCGAGCCCGAAATCTCTGTTGTTAAGTGAGACATTTGTTAACTGAGCTTGGCCCCACTTTACGACCTTTCTTGCCACCGCTGTTAAGTGAATCACTGCAGTTGATCAGTTAGTAACCTGGTTTGTTCAGTCAATCTGGATTTCCCCCTTAACTTCGCTTGTCAGAAATTCGTAAAAGGGGATCACCTGGGACTCCGCAACGGTCATAAGCATTATTATTATTATTTTATTATTTTTTAAATTTTTATACCGCCCCCTCTCCGGAAGGACTCGGGGCGGTGAACAGCCAAAATTAAAAAAACATGCAATATAAACATTAAAATACTATAAACAAAATTAAATTTATCTTTGGCTTCCCCCAATTTAAAAACCCCTTACCCATAAAATTCACCAATTAAAATTTTTTTAACCCAGCCCGGCTTGCTGAAATAAAAAAGTCTTCAGAGCCCGGTGGAAGGTCCGGAGGTCCGGGATCAGTCGTATCCCTGGGGGTAGCTCAAGCATGAACCAAGCTTCTGAACTTGGATCACATGATCCTGGGGCTGCGGCAGAGGTCGTAAGCGTGGAAAAAAATGGTCATAAGTCACTTTTTTCAAAGCCATTGTAACTTTGAACAGTCACTAAATGAACCGTTGTAAATCGAGGACTACTTGTATTGCTTTATTTATTTATTTTTTGCATTGTAAGTGGAGGTGGAATGGATGGTTGAGCAGGAGACGCCAATGGGAGGGTGTGAAGTGTAAATGAAATACCCCAAAAGAAGGACTGAGGTCCTCACAAGAGCAGATGAAAAATGGGTTGAAATCTGTGTTCATTCCAAGAGAGGAGTTGGGTTTTTCTTGTTTTTTCTTTTGGCGGAGCATAAGAAGGAGGTTTAAAAACAAGGAGAGGGTGATGAGTGCCAGCAAAGTCAACAGCCGATGGTTCAGGGAGGGTTCTGGGCTTCCACAGCCTGTATTGTTGCTGGGTTTCAGATTCCCTCCCTGATTGACCGGATGCTGTTATCTTCAACTGCCAAGACGGGGGCAGCCGGTGCCGAGGCCTTGTCCCTCTTGCTGAAGAGGCCCTGGGATCCAGCGATCGGCGTTCTTTCCCATAACAAACCAGTAAGTGCACAACAGGCCTTAAGGAAAGGAGGGCTATTAACACGGATATTAATAAACAACTAGTGACAATATGAACCATCCTGTCTAGACAAGGGCTCCCATGTAGTCAAGTATACAAACCAAACCAGAATCGGTTCCTTGTTATTCTTAAAAACAGAGACAGGTTAAAACAAGAACCTTCCACCAAAGCTTCTCTGGCAGCTTTACACCCCCTTTGGCCTGCCCTGTTTCTTTTGGGTCAGACTGATGGTCAGCAGAAGCCCAGGACTAGAACAGGGGTCTCCAACCAACCGAAGCTGGCTGAGGAACTCTGGGAGTTGAAGCCCACAAGTTTTAAAGTTGCCAAGGTTGGAGGTCCCCGTCCTAGAAGGCTCTCTTCTGCTTGTGTCCTTAATTGGTCAACAGAGGAGAGTTGATCTACAGGCACAAGAGAGGCTGGGAAGAAAACTCTGCAAAGGTTAACGTGAATTGGGATTGAAGGAGGCTGCTATAGAGATGGGTGTCTGCGCCCACTCAGCCCAGGGTACAGCGGTTTCTCTTGATTCCACTGCTCGTAGAGCAAAGGCTTCCCCGCAGGACAGCAAGATAAACCTGCTGGAAATTCAGTTTAATGCTTGAAAAAAGGTTTCCCCCAGCGAAACACAGGCTTAAAAATAGAATCCCTAGAGCAGTGTCTGAGCTGGAACAGCCCAAAGAACAGATTTCTGACCTGTTAGCCACGGGGTCCTTTGAATCTGTGGGGTTATTTTTTCCCCCAGAGCAAGTTACCCGGTTCTCCCCTCATCCTCCTGGCATCATCGGGACCCTCCAATTCCATGTTCCCCACTTCTCGGCGGCATCGATTCTGGCAGTCACAACTCTCGTGTCTGGGAAAGGTTTGTACCATTTTGGAGCCCTGAAGTTGACTCTTCGGTTAGAGATAGACCTCCGTTGGCAAGGGTTGGTTGGGAGGGAGGGAAAGAAGGCAGCAGCCCCTGTGTTTGCAGGTGAGGCTGCAGGGGCCACGTGCCTTCCCACCTCCTCCTCCCTTCTCAATTCATCTGCTCTCCAGAGGTGTGTCAAAGTGAAGCAAGAATCAGTCAGCCTGCCCTTTGCCTCCAGCAATGAAACAGCTCTGCCCAACCCTGCCTATTTTTGTTTCTGGATGCCCGTGCAGCTTTTCTCCTCCTTCCCTCTGGGGATGCTCTCGTTTTTCTTCCGCTCGGATGCGTTCCATCTTCCAGCCTGAGCTAATTTGCAGGAGACAGAGAGCATCAGAAACCCAGAGGCCAGAAACGGGCCTAGCAGGTGGCAGTTGTGGCCAGGATGACCGTGGCACAAATTCATCTCGGGTGTCAGTTTTTCTCATACCTAAACCAGGAAGCCCTTATGACGTTCATTCCTGCTTTTGGTCTGTTCCAGTGCACCTTATATGAGTCTGCCCTTGAAGGCCACTTGGGTACTACATATTTATTTTATTCAATGTATTTGTCCACCCGTCACAAAACAAGTGGCTGTGGGTGGCTAACAGTAATTTTTTTTTAAAAAGGCAGTAGAAAACACCAGAAAGTACAAAACAAACAATTGGCAGGCAAGATTAAAAGAACAACAGAAACAACCAGTACTACAGCCATTGCACATGCTCCAGCCAGAGCTTGAATTCTTAAGGCCAAGGACGCTTGGTAAAGAGATGGGCAGCATACACATTTAATAAAGAATGATAAAAACACAGTCACCTCTTGAGGGCCTTGTGGCAGTGGAACATTGTGGCTCGAGTCTGATTGTTGTTTCTTCTTTCGGGCTGCCAGGTGATCCCAGTCGCTACCCATTTAATGAACAACGGCAGTGGAGTTGGGGTGTTGCAGTGCCTAGAACATATGATTGGCGCCTTGAGAGGCAAAGTGATGGAGGTGAGGCGGGCACCCCAGGTTCTGCCCTGTGAATCCAGATCCCTTCTTCATTTGTTAGTTCAAAATAACAGCTTCTAGCTGTGATCTTCTAAAGACGGCCAATGGCTTGACTTGGCTTCTCTCTCCCTCCCACCAGATCCACAACCATTTCTCTCACAAGCCAGTCATCCTGATTGGATGGAACACGGGAGCCCTGCTAGCCTGCCACGTAAGTATCTTTGCCACCTGTCCTTCTGTCCCCTAGGCTGGTTGCTCTGTCCCGACTTAAACATTAGGAGTTGGAAGAGAGGCCCTTCGGGGCACGGTAACATTAGCCGTAATGTTATCAAGTAATGTGATCAGAACGATTGATCCCAAGACAAAAATGGCCTTGCATGCTGCCCCGAAGACTTCACGATGCAAGTGATTATTCTGACCGATGCATTTTAAGGCACATCAGAACAAGAACATAGCTGATACAGATAGCGCTCAGTTTATGAGAGCAGTTAAGGATTGCTGTCCTTAACTAGATTCCACAGTCATTAGGCGAGGCAACCTTCTGTCAGCTTCCCACCACCAAAGTCAGTGGGGAAGCCGCAGAAAGTTGCATTCCCAGGGTGCATCTTGAATTTGCTCTCTCGTTTTCCTCCGGAGGCAAAACAACCATATTTGGTTGCAGGAGCCAAGGTGGCTTTGCTGGCCTTACCCGGTCCAGAACTTGTGCATCTGCAGCCCTTCCACAGAGTCACCTGTGGCTCCTTTTGTTTCCCCACCAGGTTTCCGTGATGGAAGATGTCGCAGCAGTTGTGTGTCTTGGATTCCCTCTCTTAACAATAGATGGACCCAGAGGGGTAAGAATGAAACGGGGGCCGGGAAGAACATTCATTTCGGTACTTAATCACACTCTTTGTGCTGCTGTTTTCTGTGCTTACATTGCCAACTTTGTACTGAAGTGTTATAAAAGACCCATGCTAAGAAGATTATGTAGAATGGAATAGAATGAATGAGCTGGAAGGGACCTTGGAGGTCTTCTAGTCCAGCCCCCTGCTCAAGCAGGAGAACCTATACTATTTCAGATAAGTGACTGTCCAGTCTCTGCTTAAAAACCCCCAGGGATGAAGGAGCCACAACCTCTGAAGACAAGCTGTTCCACTGGTTAATTGTCTTCACTGTTAGGAAGTTTCTCCTTAATTACAGGTTGCTTCTCTCCCTGATTAGTTTCCATCCATTGTTTCTTGTCCTGCCCTCCGGTGCTTTGGAAAATAACTTGACCCCTTCCTCTTTGTGGCAGCCCCTCAGATATTGGAAGACTGCTATCATGTCAACCCTAGTTCTTCTTTTCTTTGTTGTTGTTCAGTTGCTAAGTCATGTCTGACTCTTTGCAACCCCATGGACCACAGCATGCACACACACACACACACACACACACACACACACACACACACACTCTCCATTGTCTCCCTGAGTCTGCCCAGACTCATGCCCACTGCGTCACTGGTGCTACCTGGCCATCTCTTCCTCTGCCACCCCCTTCTCCTTTTGCCTTCAGTGGGAGAATGAATGGCCTATCTTACATTCGCTGTAAAATGCTCTCTCCACTGTAACAACTTTTGAAAATTTTGTTTTGGGACGCAGGATGTCGATGACCCTCTTCTGGATATGAAGGCACCAGTTCTCTTTGTGATCGGCCAGAATGCTCTCCAGTGCAACACGGAAGCCATAGAAGATTTCCGAGAGAAGCTTCGAGCTGAAAACAGCCTGGTGGTGGTGGGAGGGGCTGATGACAACCTCAGGTGTGTGAGCCGGAGCAAGTCACAACATCCTTTTCTCTAATACTGTGAGAGAATGCGGATTATTGATTCCACCAGTGGCTCAGTGAGTGACAGGCACAGAAAGGGCCCTACTCACGAAGACTCAGTGGTCTTCTCAATGTCTCTAGCCTTACTTGAATGCCGTAAATTTGGGGGAATAAATTAGAAACAGAGCTTGCAAGAATATGGAGGTGGTTGATTGAATAATTACAGATTCCATCTTTCTCCCCATCCCCACCCACTCTGCCTCCATCCTCCTTTTGTGTCTTTGGTTTTAATGTCTGATTTTAACTTTTATGTTTTAACTGTATATGTGACTATAAGACGCCCAGAGTTACCCTATGGTAAGATGGGCAGCCAATACATTTTATAATTAGTAAATAAACAGGGATGGATGGATGGATGGATGGATGGATGGATGGATGGAGGGCATGCAGTCTGAACCCAACTTAAACATTTGAAAGCTGGAAATAGTAAGGTTCTGCAATGCCAGTTTTGTTGAAAAAAATAAATAGCTTTTTTGTTGTTTGTGTGGTGCACATGGATCTGTGCACATCCAGGTGAGAATCACCTACCTGCCCAAGTTGAGGGAAATGGCTGTTTGTCTGTCTGAATTGTCCCCTGCTCTTGGCTTTCTGATGGTGAAAAGTTCCAAGAAGCAAGGAGGGATGATGGAGAGCAGGTAGCTTTGAAGAAGGAATGTGGCAGAACGTAGCCTGGAAGGAGAGGAGAGGAGGGGACAAGGAGGAAACTCAAGATTGCCCACCCCTTGACCCTCTTCGATATGAGGAGGAGGGAGGGAGGGAGAACCTGCTGTCAGAAGTCAGAAGGTGGAGTCCTTGTGTTGTCTGTTTCATGACTTGGCCTACCTTGAAGGGCTGACATACCTTCAAGGTAGAAATACCCTCTGGATGTTGACAAGCTGTTTTTTTAATAGGATAAGCAAAGCCAAAAAGAAGTCAGAAGGCTTGACTCAAAGCATGGTGGACAGGTGCATCCAGGTGAGAGCAGCTGCCTCTTCTCTGCTGCTGTGAGCTCCCTCTGGCTTGAAGGTTTTCCCCCATCAAGCTGATGAGGCTTTTCTTCTTCTGGGACCCAGGACTGCCTATTCTCTTGGGGGCACCTTTGACTAGCAATGTGATCTCACTGATTGGCTGGCTTTGTAGAATCCCCTCTCCACAGGTAGTCCTCGACTTACAACAGTTCGTTTAGTGACTGTTCAAAATTACAACGGCCCTGAAAAAAGCGATTTACGGCCATTTCCCCCACTTGTATTGTAGCATCCCCATGGTCACGTGATCAAAATTCAGAGGGCTGGCAACTGACTCATACTTACGACAGTTGCAACATCCCAGGGTCCTGTGATCCCCTTTTGCGACTTTCTGACAAGTCAGTGGGGAAGCCAGATTCACTGAACAGCCCCGTGTTACTAACTTATCAACTGCACTGGTTCATTTAACGACTGTGGCAAGAAAGGTCATAAAATGGCAAAAGTCACTTAACAAATGTTTCACTTAACAACGTAAATTCTTTGCTCAATGGTGGCCGAGGACTGCCTGTCCTTTATGATCAAAAGTGCCAAAGTGAAGCTGCTTCTTCCCTCTGCAGGATGAGATTGCTGACTTTCTGACGGGAGTGCTTACTCGAGCCGACAGCCACACGGGCCCTGATCCTCGGGATCTGGACAAGAAGAGAACCGCCCGGGAGGCAGCCAGGAGGGATCTGTCTTTCGACCTGCCAGATAGAAACAGCCGGCCGGCCTCTCCAGCAACCAAAATTCCGGCTTCACCTTCTGGGTCAGAGGTGAGGGAAGTAACAGAGGGAAAAGAACTGTTGTGTTCCCCCCACCCGGCCCAGAGCAAATGCTGGATCGAAGATAGCTGATAGGGGAGACTCCTTTGTTTGGTGATCTTCTCTTGCAAGGTTCGCCAAGCCTTCTGGAGGTCTTTGTGTTCCTGGAGCAGAGGCATCCAATCGGCTGCAGCTGGAATGCAGTGAATTTGGGGTTGGATCTAGCAGGATTGCTTTCCTGTAGCTTTTACTTGGAGAGGATCACATTACAGGTTGCATGGAAATGAAAAATCCAGTCAAGCTTTATATATGGGCAGTAGCTGGGAAAGGAAAAATTTCTATGCATGGAAGACAGATATTGGCCTATTCCCTGAAGGTCCATTGTCTGGCTCGATTCTCAAACTGCCTTCGGGAAGATGCTCGCTTTAAGCACCGCTGCCCTTCAGTGGGATGTGACGGGAGGAGCAAGGCTAGGAGGCGAGCAGGGGCCGGGTTGGTGAGCGTTAATCCTTCTCCATGTGCTGCCGATCTCCTAGAGCGGAGGCTCTCTTTTCCTAGGAGTTCTCCAGTGTCTCCAGCAGCCCTGCCTCCAGCCCCAAGGCTAAAATGGCCGTGTCTTCTCTTCAAAAGTCCAGCCAGGTTGGTGCCAGCCAGTTGCTGAAAAGGTCTGTGCAGCGAATGGAAGGAGCTGTGATGTACAAGCAGGCCCAAGGTAAGGCCAAGCCCCTGTTGCGGTGCTGCAGGTGGGCCATCTCCAGGTGGCTTCCATCGAGTTCCTGCTTTAGTCTGCAGGCATCCTTCAAGATGGGGCTTCCTTCTCCGGGGGGATCCCAGTGACAGCTTGGGAGCAGAGGCCAGGTGACAAACGGTAGGCAGAGCCAAATGCCCCCTTCGGGATGTTGGCCTGAGCAAGCACAGCCTGGAGAGAGCAGCTGCTTCCCCACTGTTGCCGGGCAGAGCTGGGCCTGCCCTGCTGCTCTGCTTTTTCTCTGAACATCGTAAAATGTTGTTAGTATGGTGAGAGGCATGAAGGTGATGACGATGATGATGAAGAAGAAGACTTCCAAAATAAGCAGAATCAGTTAAATTGGGGAACCTTTGGTTAAACACAATCAGAATTAAAGGGATGAGGGGGATGCTGAAACTTCTCCCAAGACACGGAATCACTCTTCAGTGGGAAACCCATGAGTTACACACAGGTAGCCCTTAAGTTACTACCACTCACTAAGTGAAGAGCGTCCCAGAGCTACTTGCAACCCACTTTGGAAGTTCTGACAGCTGCTCCCCCCACCCCCACCCCCCCCATGGTCAGGGGATCACAGTCACAGTCGGGTGGCTGGCAGTCACAGGACTAGGACTTTGGTGGGGTTTTTTGCCAGAAATGGGCATTTTGCTGGTTTCCAACAAAAAATGTCATTGGGTATAATGGGTTTGTTTAACTACGCCGTGTTCACTTAACAGCCACCATATTTATTTAATGACCACTTCCAAAAAGGTTATGAAATAGGGTGCAGATACATGGTGACCTGCTTAACGACTGCCACAATTTACAGCTGTAATTTCAGGCTCGGTTACGGTCATGAATCAAGGGTTACCTATAATTCATTGCCTCTTTTTCTCATTAGTCCCCTTGTGGGTCAGAATGCTTTTCCGGCTACTCTTATTTTCTTAGTTTTAGATGGATATCTAAGCTTTTGTTTTGCTTTAAATGTCAGTCATTGACAGATGCAATAGGTACCCTTGTTCAGACCTCTAGATTTTGTTCGTATGAGTTGCATACTCCAAACCAGGTCTACTGAAGAACAAACAACTTAGTTCAGTGCAACTTCCCTCTGAGAAAGTGGTAGGATGTTGTGAAATGGCACGGAATGATGTTGGTTGTGGCTAGATTGCTTTCCAGAAACATCCAGTCATCCTGTGTCCATCCAAGTTCGTTATTTGATCCACCTGGGAGAGAGCTTCAATTTCTGATTACAGAATAACTTTAGAGATCTGGAATGTGTCTTCCCTTTATTACTAACTATGCCTATAGTAAGAGTTCCTTGTGCTGTGCTTTGAAGGCAAGACATTGAAGAAGGTTAGAAGAAAGAATCCTAGACATTTTGTCAGAAATAGGGTAGGATTGGGCTCTAAGAATGACCTCACATGCTCATTACAATCCTCTCTGTGTGTGGACCTTTAATCTCTGCCCTTCCTTAGAATAGAACCCTTGCAAGAAATTTGTGGTCCATGTAACCGGTTTCCTCAGTAAAAACAGCAGAGATTCTGAAGGCAAGGAGGAGTTGTCCTGGTGCTTCCTTGGGCAAGCAGCACAGAGGAAGCCGCTGATGTACCAAGGGCAGGGACCTGGGTACAGACCTGTTCAATATTCTCCTGTCTCATTCTCTCTTCAGAGCTGTCCCCGGATGCAGGGGAGAAAGAAGAGCTTCGGAAGCAACTAAAGAGACATCAGGCCTCCAGCCCCACCCATGGCAGCAAATCTTCCAAGCGAGCCAAAATTAAGGTGACCATCGTCTCTCATGGGGAAGCTGCTGGCTCCGGAAACGGCACATCCTTGGATGGACCGCCAGAAAGTGAGTCCTGAGAACCGGAGCCACTTATACGTATCTGGAGGTGGGCGGTGCAGAAGATAAAGTGGCATCCCAGGTTTTCCTTTGTTCTGCTCAACGGTGAGCAAAGCAGGTTTGATCTGGTGGCTAGATTCCGATCTGGGATAGGAATCTCCTGAAATCCTGTATTTTGCAGCCTGCAGAGACTTGTTGGAGAGCTTGTTCTAAAGAATATTTCAGCATTACAAGATGTGACCGTTTCTTAGCTGCAGTTTCGATTTTGTGGATGTGAATGTGTTGCTACGGTTTATAAAGCATAAATGTAATTGTACAACTCATTACGAAGACAAAGGGACACGTAGCACTGGGGTTGCAAAACTGAAGATTTTTGTGAATTTTGATCGATGAGAGGCAGGTCATGACTCAGAAAAGATCTTTCCTGATTCTGGAAGCTACTACTGAACCCATTATCCTCTCCTATGGTTTGTTTGGTGAAATGTTTGTGTTTTCTGAGTTGCATTTCATCATGTGGTGAAGGTGATAGATGGATAGCAGAATGAAACTTCATGAAACCTGCCCAGTGGTCGGTCTAGTTGACTTTCAACTCTGCCCTGGCCATGGCTTCCCTGCCAGAGTCACACACCAGCATTGCCACCCCCACCCCAACAGCAAGTATTCTCTTGAGAAGGGCAAGCACTTCCATGGACTCAGTATCTCTCATTGGAAAAGCCTTTGTTTTAGTCAGTGTTTTTTGCCTAACTTGTTTTTGGATGTGGTTACCATAGGGGTCTCCAACCCCCAACCCCCCCCCCCCGCCCCTCCCGGGCTGTGGTGGCAGCAGAAGCAATTGTCATTCAATCAGGGTCATTCTGAGTGAGGTTAAGGCTTTGGAGTCATTTCCACCCTTCTACAGCAGCCCTTCATGTGGAGCAGGACTGAATAAACCGACCTCAGCACACTAGGACTGGAGACTTCCAAAGCTGTACAATCTTATACTTTTTTAAAAAATCTGCCTGAATACTAAACTATTCAACAGTAAAAAAAAATACCGTACAAATTAATTAATTTGTATTTGGTCATTGAAGCATAAATTTATCAGCTTTGAAAGTCTCGGCTTTTTTAAAAAAAAATGTAATTATCCAAACTTTATTTCTCTTTACAGAAAATAATGAAATGCAGAAGTAAACTTGAACCAAACAAGAGTTCCCTCTTACCATACGTGGACAGGAGGAATGAGCAAGACAATTTTTTTGATTTGTATCCAAACACTGCAATAAATACATAATTTTAACTCATTTCTGTTCCTGTGTATTTTATAAATATTTTAGGAGAATGCTGGCAAAGTAAAACCGATTAAGAGAAGTCCTGCTGTGAATGACTGACTGATGAGAAGAGGTGTTTGGCTAGAGAAGAAGTGATAGTTGGTAGAGCTGCTGCTGTATCTCATTTATGAAGGCAGGGGTGGAGCTTCATTTGCTTTCTTGCATACTGTAAAAGCTGAAGTTTGGTGTGTAGATTGTTTGACATCTGCTGAGTGAGCAGCAAAGTATTGTGGTGTTTTGCGTCTTTTTCACAATCGTGACAGTTTATGACCTGCAAGATGAATGGAGGTTTTTTTCCCCCTTCAATCCTTTGTACAGGTTGTTAGAAGGAGGCTGATTTTGTATGTTAGGATTACCTGATTCTTCTTAATCTATATTTTCATTTTACAGTAGCTGCAGGGAAGTCTGTTGCTGTGACTTTGGGGCAGACGATGGCCGGTGCAAAGGAAATGACAGGATTGCTTGCCACTTCGATGTGAGTATCTGCAGGCACAGCCCAAGATGCTGGTTTAGACGACTTTAAAAGGAGAAAAGCCTCTATTCTGGATGGCTCGTTATGCTACCTTCAGATCAGAAGCAATAAACCCCACAGAACGGTCCTTGGAAAGCCTTGCTTCCCTGGTGGTGGGCTGTCAGGGGGCATCTGCCTGGGCTCCAGCAGGAACTTGTGATGAAGATGGATGACGATCAGCTTCTTTTAATGACCCCATAATCCCTTGCGGGGTGGAGTCTGGGCAACTGAATGGAGCTGAGTGTTTACTGGCCGGATGCCCTTCCTGTCGCCAATGCGGAGTTATATTCAGCAGATATATTCCCATGGTGCCCAGAGAGAGAAATATCTGCCTCTACCTAGAATTGAACTCACAGCCCCCTGATTGTGAGGCAAGAGCTTTAGGCCACCGCACCACTCAGGATGGATGACGATGTCTGCCACTTATTAATGGGGAATTGGCCGGATCTAGCAGAACTCTGTTTTTAAGAGAGGTACGTGTCATGTGCCAATTGTGTCTACACTGGCACTTACTAGAAGAAGTGCTGCAATCCAACCGCACAAAGAGAAGGCAGGTGTGTAACCAAGAGGATGCCTAAAGAGCAGGTGCAACAGCAGCTGTATGCAGGGAAGCTGAGACTCTGGGAAAGCAATATTTTGTGTGCAAGCAGTTCCACAGCTGCCTCTACCAACAGCTCATTTGTGCACAGAGGTCTGTGCATAATCCACCCAGTTTAAATGCCTCAGACCGACTTTCTAGCTCCATAACTGCATTTCCTTTTTCAATTTCTAGGCCAAGTCCTGCAACAGACAGCCCCTCCTCTATCAGTCCCACACCCTCAGTTACAATCCCCAGCAACACGGCTCCTAGTGCTTTCCATGCTCTGCAGAACAGACTTGTGACCAGTGGCAGCCCTTGCTTGCAGGCTCAAGCTGCCGGTGCGCTCCCAGGTAAATGCAGGCTGTGATTCAGAGGCAGCCTTCGGGGAGTGGGGGGGTGGGTGTATGATAGGAAGGCTGCCTCCGACATACAATCCCAATGAATCAGCCGACATGCTGTCCTCGATGGCCACGTCTAAAGGAGCGCTTGTATTTCCTGATGTGGCATTTCTGTCTTCCGTTTCTCTTTAGGGGCAGCTTCAGCCAGCAGCCTTCTACAAGGTTTGAGCTTCAGTCTGCAGGACATCAACACGAAGCCCGCTGCTCTTCCAGCCGGTGTTGCCGCTGCTGGGTCCTTGGCACAGGTAGGCAGTAGAGGCAGCACAGGCCTGAGGGCAGCGGCTCGTGCCAACTTGCAGGAGTCCATTGTTAAATTTTCTGGAATTTTGCAAGCTGGTTGAGAGCAGAGCTAAGCTGCAACATCTCACACACAGCTAGCAGTGGGGCAGCGGCAATGGCAGATCTGGGTCTTAAACATTTACGCGCACACCCCTACCCCTTTCGGTAGGTGGAAAATGTGCATTTTAATGGAACGTGGAAGTGTGAAATAATGGGCAGAGTCTGACCAAGTGGAAACCTGAGTGTGAAGCTTAAAAGAAGGTGAGCTTAAGGAAAGTTATAATGAGTCTCCACTTATACAAAGGATGGAGGTGAACGGTCACTTCTTCGCCTTCTGGAGAAAGTTTTTATTCTTCCTTTTTACAGGGTGTCCATACATGGCTTATTGGACCAGTTGGCTACTTGGGATCGGAAGACCTGAGTGTGGCAGACTAAAGACGCCTCCATTTAAACTCTTGGGGGTCCTAAGAGGAAAATGGTTTTGGTTGTGACTTTTTCTCCTTTCCACCGTGCAGAACTCGGCCTTGAAGACTCCAGCGCCCCTCCAGAGCCTGAGTGCCATCACGACCAGCGGAAGCACGATCGTTCGAACGATCCCAGTCGCCACCTCTTTATCTTCTCTCGGAGCCTCGGCTAGCGGGAAGCCCACCACCATCCATCAGCTGCTTACCAATGGGGGGCTGGCCAAACTCGCAAGCAGCCTCCCTGGTTTGGCTCACATCTCTGGTCAGGGGACAGGTAAGAGTCCAGCTGCCTGGGCCGAGGAAAAAGGAAAGGGCTTCTTGGTGTGGCTGGCACTTGATTCCGTGTCTCCATGACACAATTAGAGAAGAGAGCAGCCAAAGAGTTGGGAGTTGAACTCTCTTATTATTTCATATGGACTCGCCCCACAGGTTTTAAAAAAACTCACGCCTTACGGAGGTGTGCCATTAAGACAAACTTAAGGTACAGTTGCAGTGTTCATGGTTGAGGCCCAGCCTGGGAAAAGATTCCCCATTCCTGTCCTGTCAGTGGGGCTGTTGGGAAAAGCTGTCCAGAAGGCTCCCTCCCGGAATGGGCATCTCGGGGCCTCCGGTAACTCTTGCCTCCCTCCCCTTTGCCAGGCTTAAAGGTCCCAACCACCATCACAGTGACCCTCCGGGGACAGGCCAGTCGAGCCGCCACACTCGGCCAGACCACGGTGGCAGCTGCCCAGAGCCAGTTGGAGGAGCAGACGCAGCTGCTGCTGCCCCCACCGCAGCTGCCCCCGGTAATGTGCGAGACAGGCTGATCGGAGGCCTGGGAGGGAGGGAGGGAGGGAGGGAGGAGCTTTGCCTTGTGTAGGGGGGGTTGGCATCCTCCTGGAGACCCAGTTCTTGATGGCCATGGGGCCACTCCGTGAAAATCTGCTCTTTCCTCTCCTAACTACAACTTGCCACGATGTTTTGTCTTGCCTTGTGCTGACCGCAGCATTCTTGGAGCACAGCACGATTTTACTGGCCTCCCTTTTGGTTCATTCTGCCCGTCCCATTTTTCAGGTTGCAGATAACGCAGCTGCGAATGTGGCCTGCCCAACTTCCGGCCCCATTCCTCCCAGTAAACGGTTGCCACAACTGGACCTTGGCAAAGCCCAGAGCGCTGAGAGACTCCCTGCTGACCCCCCATCTCACCCATCCTCAACGGTCTCGCTGTCCGTAGGTGAGAAAACCTTGCTTTCCCTCCCTGCTGCTAGAGCCACCAGGAATTCCATGTGTCTTCCTGTTAAATAGCACCCAAGAATAAAGGAGAGGTTCTTCTGGTTTTAAATCTCTGGTTTATGTTACACAAGTTGGATCAAAGGTCAACTTTTCTGACAGCTGCTCCTTCCCAGATTATACCCGTCCTGGCTAATGCCTAATGTCCCAACTGTGTCCCTCCAACTCCTGTTAACCCCAGCCAGCATCACCTGCGTGAAGCCTGGCATTAAACATGGTTTTATCGGCAATTCTGTAGTGTGTATTTATGCATTTTTACGAAAAGGCCAAAAATCCTGGACAGTTTACTTGTTCACTTTCCTGACTTTCCTTGAATCATTGCCATATTTACAGGTTCACCGAAATTATGAGACTAAAGACACTCAGTTGCTAGAGGGTAGCTTGGAATGCCTGGCTGATTTGAAGGCTGCTAGCAGAGGTCACAGTAAGGATTAGAGAACCATTTTGTCAGTCTCTGAGGAATCCGGGCCTATGAGATGCTCAACAAAATCCAGGAGCTCAATTACAGGAGTTGATCGTTTAACATGACATGAACCATCTCCTTTCTCCTTCTCCTTCTCCAGTAACTACCACCAGCCCCATGAAGACCCTCTATGTGATGTCAGATGCTAAACTGTCGGCACTCACAAAATCTGTCATGGCAGAAGCTGCGTCTGTCCCCCTGAAAGCCACAGCTGTCCAAACAACCGCTGCTGCTTCCTCTACTACGGCTTCCTCCCCTCCTGGGGCTGTGACCTTTGCCACCTCAACGACAAGCAGCACACCTGGCGGTTTGGGGCATTCTAAAGTGGGGCCTGTTTTGCAGTCGGCTTCCAAGACAGTGATACTCACCTCTACGCTGACGGCTTTGAAGGCTGATCGGAGCCTGGGACAGAGAGGGGAGATGACCCTGCCCAAAGGGCATGAACTCGGGACCATGGAAACTCTGGGCAGGGTACCATCTGTCATGGATGACAGCAGCACCATCATCCACACCCGGGAGAGCCTCACAAACAGACATTTGCTTCCACAGGGTATGCTGCCTTCCGCAGCCGGCACCACGCTTATTACTTTAAGCAGCAACCTAGCCGGCTCCTCCATCATCCCCACAGCTGGGGCTGCCCTGAGTCAGAAACCAGGACCTCCCACCATTTGACGTCTTCTTTGGCTTTAGCACGGGAAGTAAAATTTGAGGCACCGCTTAGCATTCCTGGCTTCCTTGACAAGAGGACACATTATTTGGTTCCTTTGACCCTTTTAATAAACTTTTTGTGTATGTAGCACCTTTTAATTGCTCTATAAAAGACTGGCCTTTTTTTTCACAAGTATTAAGTATGGGCTAGATGCTTCTATTTGGAGTTCTTGAGTGGACATGCAGTGTGTATAAGGGAGGCATAACCATTTCATTAACGACGAGGTCAGGCTGTATTCAGTGCATCAGGCCCTTCCCAAATAAACAAGGTAAAATGGCATAAATCGGGTGTCAAACTGGATTTCTTCGAGGGCCAGATCAGCATTATAGTTCTCCGTGAGCTGGCGGGGGAGGGGATGGGACAGATGCCTCCTGCAGCACCCTGCCAGCCAAAAATGGGGCAAAGAAATTTGTTGTAATTTCAATAGCAGCAAGCTTCAGTCTTACTATTTCAAGGGTGAGCAGAAATATTCCTGATGTTTTTTTTTTGAGAACCCAATAAGACAGATTTCATTGCTGACAGACACTTTATTTTGCTTCCAATAACAAAATATTTATCAAATTAGGAGTAAAGACTCTAAGCATGCTCATGGCTTTCAATTAACAATAAACCCCATTACTTAGTATGCAGTTCTAGAGCAGACTTTACTCAAAAATTGGGAAAAGGAAGAAAAGGAAAGAAACCAATTGAAAGGTTTAAATTTGAACCCACCCAAGCCTAAAGATTAGTGGGACTCAGCCTGTCACACCAGAGCGCCTCTGGCATTTCGAAAACTCTCATGAAATAGTGAGCAGGCTTTATGTTTCGTGCCAGTAGGGCTCGGAAATATATAATTTATTATCTATGGTAAAATGCATTTCCACATAAAAACATCTCTCCTGAAACTATACATTAGATAACAAATCTTAACGATTTCAAGGAACCAACATTAAACACAATTTAAGCATATAAGCACCCACAATGGTAACCTGCTATTTAAATGGCCTTTTTTTCTTGGAATGTAATAAAGGATTCCTAATAGTTCCACAAACGTTTAGCAAACATTGGAGGTATGTGCCATAATACTTTTCATAATATTCAAATACATGATTGCATTGTCTAGATCAAATTAATATTCTGTCAATGTATTGACGTGAACTGCTTTGCTTTGGCTACAAAAGTAGCTCTCCCATTGTTGGTAAACACAAGAAAATGCTTTCCTATTCCTTTCAGAGGAACAAAAAACATCCATTTGCCGACTGCCCTTGGTTGCGCTAAGTGAACTGGGGAACTCGGAAAGCAAACAAGCTGAGAGAGACTTCAAAAAAAGAAGGCAGACATGGTAGCGGTGATGAGATTCTCCTCTAAATATGGTTCAAAAATGACATTCTGACTACTTATCATGAGTTCACTGTGGTAACAATGGTTTTATAGAGAAATGCAAGATATGCAAAATTCTTGGATGACAGGACAGTTGGTGCATTTGTCTGCTAGTTCTGTTATCGAAGTGTAAGCGGCTCCTGCATGTGCCAATATCTTCCCACCCGATCTCTGGGAATAATCCGCAATTCTGAACCATGTTTCAGGAAAACATTCCCTGGAAAAAGAAAAGGTTATTTCATTTCATTTTCATTTTATTAAATTTGTATACCGCCCTACTCCCGAAGGACTCAGGGCAGTGAACAGGCACAAAATAAAACACATAAATACAAAAGTTAAAACATGATTAAAACCCAATTAAATAATTTTTGCCCGAGACAATTTAAAACTCCCAATAATTTAAAACGAATTAAAATTTCAGTTTAAAAATTTAAAAGACAAAAGGTCAGCAATCTCTAGCTTTCCTGACTCTATTGCAGAAGTTGTCATTCAACACTAGAACAGGGACATGCCAATTCACTTCTAAACATAATTATGTTGGTATTCAGAAATGTTTGGGAAAAATTATCAGGATGATTTCTCATGCTTGCTTTATTGATGTTATACACTGGAAAAATCTTATCTCTTGCTAGCCCGTATCTTTAAAAGATCTACAGCAGTACATCCATACTCGACAGAATTCATTACAGAATACTCTTATAACTCTTAATTATACAGGCACTTACCAGCTGTCTGATCAGGGTTTATTCCTATTCCATCTGGGGAAGAAATTAAAAGAGGATAGTGAGATTCTTCTGCAGTTATATCCCTTCTGGATCCCATGAAAAGGAATGGAATCTTTGCTGAAACAAAAATCAGCAAATTCTTGCCCAGTTCATGAGATTGTGCCCTCTGTGCAAAAGTTAGCATGGTTTTACCACATGGCATCAGAAACTAGTGGGCAAACCTTGTTACTGGGTTTCAACAGAACGGGCATTAAAAAGTCACCAGTAATATTTTTAGAACTAGGCCTGTGCAGCATTTTGAAGGCCAAAAGATGCCACTAAGCAGGAGGACTCTGCCTGCAATTCCTTAAAGCAGTCTGCCATTCCCTGAATCAGTTGGCAGCTCCAGATGGCAGCCCTACAAATCCAAGAAAAGACTAAGCAGTTATGGACAGGAGCTGCATTCCTGCCTTGAATCCCAACACTGCAGAGTGGAACGATGTCGCTGGAGATTCTGTCGCCCAGGTCATCGTTGCCTCAAAGGCGCTTTTATCAAAAGGCAATTGGACTGCTTTTTTCCTTGAGGAAAAGAACATTTTCTTCTTCCTCAAGTCAAAGGAGATATAGAAGTATAGACAGCTGCACAAACAGGCTGAAGAACAGTTTTTATCCATGGGCTGTCAGACTCCTGAATGAGAAATAACATTATAACTACGTAGTATGATGGACTGCAGGGCCGGCGCAATGTGTAACATGTTCACACTGATGCAATAGGACTGGGTGTTTTGTTAATATGATTTATTGGGTCAGGAATTTTCTATCTTCACTGTGAGTTGTATTGTGTTGGGGGGGGTACACTGAGGGAGCTCAACCAATCTCATTGCACATATGTTGTGCACTGACAATAAAGATTTGAATTTGAATTTAGTTGCCCTTTGAAAAGGCCCCTTTGCATAGTAGAACCACTTCCAAGTTTCCAACTACTGTGAGATGCAGGTGTAAACTCACCGTTTGTTATAATGGCACTTGTAGCTGCAGGGACTTTGAACTAAATCAAATAGAAATACAATAAGTTAAAAGAATAGAAATCGACCTTACCATTCATCTTGATAAAAAGAAAAAACTATTCGTGCTACTCCTACTTTGCAAGAAGCAAAAGTGACACTACCACTTTCTATATTCTGCTCTTTTTATTCCATTTCCAAACTGCCCAATAAAAAAAGTTTGTCTTTTTGTATCTTTTATACAAAACATGTTGCTAAAAAACGAAAACAAAAACTACTTGGACATTTTGAAAACCACTCACTTCTTCTGCAGCAAACTTCAAGACAGCAGTGAAAGGCGTGTTCTCGGGCACACTTAACCTACAAAAAAAAACAGACGGCAGTTCTCTAAAGTGGCCGCTACGTATTTCTACACCGACCACCCACCTCCAGCCACCTGGGGTGGGTTGGGGGGGCTTGCATTACATTCCTGCAAGAAGCTCAGCTCCGGGGCGGCTGCAAGAACGCAGATTCCTGGGCCAGGAAGAGAGATTCCTGCGGGCTTCCCTGCCACGTCTGCCAAGGCTGGGCGGTGGCTGCGGGAGATGCCGGGGGGCCTCCCAGCCATCCCTGCACCGCCTTCCTTTCGGAGCCCCGCGGTGCTCCAGACCGGCGGGGCCCCAAACCTTTGCAGACCGGCCAATGGTGCGGGTGCGGGGTGGAAGAAAGGAGGGGGGGGATGATGCCGCGCGCCCTCGCAGGGTTGCCAATGGGGCTTCGTGCGCGTGGCCGCCCGTGACGTAAAGACACCTGCGCGCGGGTGGGGGGAGGGGGGGGCGGCGTGACGTGTCGAGCGGTGGCGCGGTGGGACTCACACTTTGTAAGGCAGGCGCGGGTCCGAAGTGAGCGTGATCTTGAAGGTGACCTTCGCCCTGCGGGGAGAGAAGGAGACACGGCGGTTAGGAGCCGGGAGACCGGCGGGGGGAGAGACCGGGACCCGCGCAGTGACTCCCCACTCACATCGCTTGCCTTCATGCAGCCGGCGGCGCCACTTCCGGAGCTGCCGCGTGCGTCATTTCCGCCTCCGCCTCGCTCCCCCAACCCCCCCTCCCCGCCGTCCATGCAGAGAGCTAGGAAGGTGCAGAGGGGACCGCCGCCATGAGCAAGCGCAAGGCGCCGCAGGAGAACCCCAACCAGGCCATCACCGACCTCCTCAGCGGTGGGTACCGCCGGTCTAGGCGGAGGGCCGGCCGAGGGGGCCCTGAGAGGAGCTTCAGGGGGGGGTTGAGGGGAACGGCGGTGCTCTGGCTGAGGCAGGGAAGGAACTCGAAGCTGGGCTTGGGTGGCTTCTGAGGCGATGCAGCGCCCGAGTCTCCCCCTCGGCTCTCTCTCCCCCTGCCCGGCCTTTGTGTCCTTCTGAGCCGAAGCCTCGGCGGCACGAGAGCCTCAGGGAGGGCGCTGTGGGAGTAGCTACACATCCTTCATAAACCAGGGCTCTCCAGCCGTGGCCATTTTGAGCCTGGCGGACTTCAACTCCCAGAATTCCCAAGCCCGCTTTCCTTGGCTTTGCTGACTGGGGGATTCTGGGAGCTGAAGTCCACAAAAGAGCCTTGGTACTACAGTGGTCTAAAGCACCCTGTTATTAAGACCAGCTGCCTGCAATTACTGCAGGTTCGAATCTCGCCAAGGCTCAAGGTTGACTCAGCCTTCCATCCTTTCTAAGGTAGGTAAATTGAGGACCCGGTTGTGGGGGCAATAAACTGACTTTGTATAAATATACAAAAGAATGAAGGCTATTGCTTAGCGCATTGTAAGCCGCCCTGAGTCTCCGGAGAAGGGCGGCATATAAATCAAATTTAAAAAAAAGTCTTAAAGCTGCCAAGTTTGAGGCCCTCTGATGTAATGTATAATAGCAATAGCACTTATATACCACTTCACAGTGCTTCACAGCCCTCTCTAAGCTTACAGAGTCAGCCTCTTGCCCCCAACAATCTGGGTCCTCATTTTACCCACCTCGGAAGGATGGAAGGCCGAGTCAACCTTGAGCCTGGTGAGATTCGATCTGCCAAATTGCAGGCAGCCGGCAGTCAGCAGAAGGAGCCTGCAGTACTACACTCTAACCACTGCGCCACCACAGCTCATTATAAGTTGTGTGATTCAATTTATTTTTCAATAAACAAATCTTTTAATGGGGAAAAACAGTAAAAAAAAACAAACCACCATGCAGCAACATGGTTGCATAAGCGCACAAAAACTTAAACTAATACTTTGTTGAAGCACCATTTGATTTTTAGACAATAGTCTTTTGGGGTAAGAGCCCATCAGTCTGGCAAGTCTTGCCTTGGGCATCTTTGCCATTCTTCCTTGCAAAAGCGTTCCAAATCTATCAGATTGCAAGGGCATTTCCTATGCAAAGCCCTCTTCAGAGTCATAAATACAATGCTTACATATTTGTCACCAAGGGGATAGGGAGGGGTATTGCTTTTTGTATTGTTTTTATTTTGGGATTTTATCCTTATAAGCTGCCCAAAGTCATTGAGTTGTGTGGCCATATTTTTTTTTTTAAATAATTAAATATTTAAATTGAGACTTGTGTTAATTTATGTTATTCTTTATAACTTCTTTCAGAATTGGCCAACTATGAAAAGAATGTGAACAGAGCTATTCATAAATACAATGCTTACAGGTAAGATTTACATTTTGGGAACAATCATCTAATCTGTTTCACATGGAATCTCTCATCAGTGTTTTACAAACTATATTGGAAATTTTCCTGGTATTTCTTTCTTGCAAGAGGCTGTTCTTGGAATTATCTCATGCAATTTGGAAAACTCTTTTGCCATAGACCAGCAGTCCCCAACCTTTCCGGCTTGGCAGGCCAGCAAGTTGGGGGGGGGAGAGGGGGTGGTTCTGTGCGAGAGGCAGTGACCCGGAAGTTGGGGATCCCTGACTGATAGCGCTGCCAAAATAAAAAGAGATTTTTGTTGGGTTTTTTTGTCTCATGCAGGAAAGCAGCATCTGCAATATCCAAATACCCTAGCAAGATTAAAAGTGGGTCTGAAGCAAAGAAATTGGTAAGTTTTGGAACTAAGAAGAAGAAGGAATTTTCCAAAGTTCTTTGGGAGTTTTTAAGTTAATATGGTTGGTATTTCAGTCAAATTTCATTGAGAAATTGCTTGATTTTAAATATTATAAATATAATTAAATCCATTTAGCAAGAAGGTGTTCGCTGAACAGGTTCATGAGAAATCTCATACTTCTGTTTTACAGAAAATGGGTCCTCTTCTGCTGAAAAGGACAGTTGAGAAATTTTGGAGAAATTACTGAACTGAAAACATTCGTGTGTGTTTGTATGCTAAGAGCTTGTTGTCTGATGTCACTGGTTACTAAATGTAAGATTTGTTCTTTTTAATGGCAACTTCATCATATTTTAGGATGGCGTAGGTACTAAAATTGCTGAAAAGATCGATGAATTTTTATCTACTGGAAAATTACGTAAGATAGAAAAGGTAAATATTTGAATTTTTAGAGTCTTATTTTATATATTTTTTTATCTCATATCATCCTGTCTTTGCAATTCATAGGCTAACATACAGCTCTCATGTATCCTTATGATAATGTTTCAGCCCAGTTATGCTATGAGTGAGTGTGTGTGTGTGTGTGTAATTCAAAGTAGTGATTTTATCATATTTTCCTTCCTCTAGATTCGACAAGATGACACAAGCTCATCTATCAATTTACTGACCAGAGTTAGTGGCATTGGGTAAATTGATGGGCATATTTAATGTTAAACTGCCAGAAGGGGTGTTTGGAAAAGGCAAATAATTGAAACCTAAAAAATAGGATTCAGATTTCCTGAACAAAATAATACCAATAAAAGTAATTTTTTTCTGTATATATTAGCAAAGCCCGCTTACATCTTCTCTGTGCGTGACCTCTGTAGATGTCATACGCCAACGTTCCCCAACCTTTCTGGATGGGGAAAGAGGGGTGGGAGCGCTGGGAGGGGGGTGGGAAGAGGAGATGGTTTTGTGTGAGGGGCAGGCAAGCATTTTTATGAAGCTGTGGGGCGAGGGAGGTTGGGAGTGCCGGTGCGCTGGCATGCCACTCAGGCAGCCTAGTTGCGAATAGGCCATGGCCCAGTAATGTGCCACAGCCCACAGGTTGGGGATCCCTGCCATACTCTAAATAAAATAAATACCGTAAATCTTCTCTGTCATTGTTTGGTATTTCCTCGGCTCAGAATAGCTTTCGTTTTCTTTGCCGCCCAAAGATTTTGAGCTGCCACTATCTTACCTTTCTGAATTAATTTCTACCATTTTGGTTTAAGTAATCCGTCAGTTTTCTTACTCAGATGTGATGTTAATTTGAGCTCTACTGAGATTTTGCAGAGGAAATTTTGTCCAGCGGTTAATGAGTTATCTTTTTCTTTGCAGTCCTGCTGCTGCCAGGAAACTAGTAGATGAAGGTATTAAAACATTGGAAGGTGAGCCATTAAAAGGTTATTACTTGCATGTCTGCATTTACCTCTGAAAGCGTATGGCCACTTTGAGAGATTTGTTGAGCACCCTGTTAAAACAGATTAGTGGACACCCTTCTGCACACCTGCAAACGGAGTCTGGCTCCCCAGTTAAAGAGAACCTTGTTGCTCAGTTAGGCTTCATTCTCCTGCAGGATGATGTTATGTCAGTGTAACTGATGTATAATTTTTAAAAAACTGTTTGTATGCTATCTTAAGTGTTACAACATTTTTGTTTTGCTAAAAGAATCTGTTGTGAGTTGATGGAATTTTTTTTTTTTTAATTTGATTTATATGCCGCCCTTCTCCGAAGACTCAGGGCGGCTTACAATGTGCTCAGCAATAGCCTTCATCCTTTTGTATATTTATACAAAGTCAGCTTATTGCCCCCACAAACTGGGTCCTCATTTCACCTACCTTAGAAAGGATGGAAGGCTGAGTCAACCTTGAGCCTGGTGAGATTCGAACCCTGCAGTAATTGCAGGCAGCTGGTCTTAATAACCAGCTTAATAACAGGGTGCCTTAAACCCCTGTACTACCAAGGCTCTTTTATTAATATTATTAAATATTAATATTAATTAATATTAATTAATAAATATTAAATTTAACCCAGAAATCAAATTGTTCCTGCATTAATTAAATTTCTGACATCTTCCTCCCTCTCCTCTCTCTCTCTCTCTCTCTCTCCCTCCCTCACTCCCTCCCTCTCTCTTTGACTGCATCCCAAAGTTTTCAGGACAATGGATAGCTCTGTTTTAGGAAAGACTTGGCAGGTGGCTTTCTCCAAGCTTGGTATTCAAGAAAAACTTAATTGAGTCCATACTCTTGTTTTTTCTAGACTTAAAGAAAAATGAAAATAAATTGAATCATCATCAACGCATTGGATTAAAGTAAGATCTGCTTACTTTGTTCATCTGAGGGAAGGGAAGGCAGTGTTTTCATGCCTAGGAAAGGCACCTCGTTTTTGACATGATTGTTTTTATCCACAAGAAGCTAACAAGTCGACCCCAGGATGAGAGGGGAAGCAGATTATTTTCTATTTTGTTTTTTTTTAGAGGAACAAATAGATGCATTGAAACTTACCCAGTGTGTCCTTGAAAACAGACATTTCTATTCTCAAAGCAAATGCCACCATTGTTGGCTTACTTAAAAATTCTATCGCACTTGTGAAAAACCTTTCTTGCATAATCTGTTAGCGATTTTTTTTTATTTCTGTTCCTAATAGCAAAGAGGGCATGGCAGGGCGTAGCAGTGGAATTTTTATTTGCAACATTTGGTTGTTATTTAGGATGAACTACTGTAAAATTAATCTGATGTCAAATATTCAATATAATGAATATTTTAAACTCTGTCTAATATGGATGGAAATCGTCTTTGATTGATGTGCTTAAATTCCAGGCACCATCTGATGCCAATCTAAGCATTTCATTTCAGCAGAATTTCTTTGAAAATAAATCTGTGGTGGATCCCAGCCACAGTTCATCCCTGATCCTCCTTTATTTTGCATGCACAGATACTTCAAAGACTTTGAAAAAAGAATTCCTAGGAAGGAGATGCTTGAAATGCAGGTAAGCAATGATAGCTCCTCCAGCTGAAGAAAAAAGGCATAAGAATTCACGAGAGATCAAGTGACTTGATCTCTTTTTTTACAACAGGACATTGTACTGAGTGAAGTGAAGAAAGTAGACCCTGCCTACATCGCTACAGTTTGTGGCAGTTTTCGCCGAGGTTGGTGTTCCCTCTGTTTTCTTGACTGCCATATGACTTTTGGAATCGATTGCTAGAAAGTGGGCAAGAAGGCTACACGGGTTTCCCTGTCTTCTGTCTTGCCACATCTTGCGTTCTTTCCAAATAAGCAGACTTTTCATTAATGTGTCTGCAGCAGAGATCTGGGGATCATGGTGAGCATGTTGCTAAAAATTTGGCCCATCAGGTAAAGCAGGAGTAAGTCCAGAGTTTATTTTGATGATCAGGAAAGATGGTTATCTATGCATATAATAAGGATTTGAGATCTTTTTTCTCAGTCTGAAGGAGCCTGGGAACACCTTTTCCAACAAACACCTTTTACTGAAAGGCATAAGCTTTTGTGACTTGCAGATGTGGCCGTATCTCCAGCTAGAGTAGGGAGGGGATGGAGAAAAGAGACGGGCGAGCTTGGACTCCCTCCAGGAGAGGAAGCAACAGAAGCCCAGCCCCTTTAACTGCCTGTCCCCAAGAGAATGCAGTTAGTCTGGTGAGATTGTTCTAGATAGGCAAGCAAAAACAAAGAAATGACTTTGTTCAGCTCATAGAGTGCCGTTCTGGTTCCTTGCCCCTGACACAGCTCTCTTCCTCAGATGTATCTAGAATGGCTGGAATGAATGTAGGGTTTTTAGGATGAGGGACCACAATGAGATTGTTTTGGGGGAAAAAAGAACTTTAATTCCACCTTTGAACAAGAAGTTGCTGAACACACACATATCATATTAAGAACCGTGGTGGCACAGTTGTTAGAATGAGCAGTACTTCGGGCTGACTCTGCCCACTGCCAGGAGTTCGATCCTGATGGGCTTAAGGTTGGCTCAGCTTTCCATCCTTTCAAGGTCAGTAAAATGAGGACCCAGATTGTTGGGGGCAAGAGGCTGACACTGTAAACTACTTAAGAGAGGCTGTAAAGCACTGTGGAGCGATATATAAGCCTAAATGCTGTTGCTATCAATGGTTTCAGGCAATCTCATGTCTCAAAAAACACATCAGATTTTTGACATATTAGAATTTTTAATTGATACGGTATTGGTAATTTGAAATTTGTACTTCCACTGTTGTAAGATTGATGTTGGCCCTCCCACCTAAACCAGACAGAAAACATGACCAGATGAGCTAATTCTACTTTCTGTAAGGCTTCATTAACAGAATTGTGCAAGTCTGAAAGTACAAACCTTCTACTCTCACCTTTAATAGCACTTAACAGATTTTTGCTTAAATCGGATCTTAAATCCAAGGCTGAACTGACTTTTGCTGCCTGGCATTGCTTTGAAAGGTGCAGAATCCAGTGGAGATATGGATATCCTGCTGACCCACCCAGACTTCACTTCAGAATCTACCAAAAAGGTTGGTTTTCTTTTTAGATAATCCTGTTGACACCAGCAGTTATTGGAATCTAGGAAATCCAAGAACCTACCCTGAAAGAGAGCAAATTACTTTGGGATTAATCTCTTTAAAAAAATATTGCCATTTCATTCTCAGCCTGATTTTTTTATACTATCACAAAGGTTATGGATGTAGTGTTTGTCTGAATAAAAGGAAGATAACTCATTGCCGAAAGAAGCGATACATATTTTCTTACAGCTTTTAATATTTTTCATTATTGTTTGCATCCTAGTAAAAATGGTAGTTAATGCATGCACAGAAGCTTTCGTTGCCCACCTTCCCTTTAGCTCTCAGAGCAGAAAAAGAGAGAGAGAGAGAGGTTAGGTTATTTCAGACCCCTCGTGTAAGGCTTTAAGTGGCTTAACCCACCCAGCCCATTTGGAGATTGGGGCATTCACGGGGTAATGTTTTCAGGAGCATCTGGAGACACAGGCATCGCAGGGCTGGTTTTGCACTGCTTAGGATCCCTAAGGTAGCCTGATATTCTTCTGTGGGGTTCAAACTCACTGCCAGTGTAAAACCCTGTATGCAGAGGTGTGACATGATGTGTAACATTTGAGAGTTTGTGAGCCGGCGGACTATATATAGTTATACAGCTGTATCTATACCTTCCTGCAACCAGGGAGCATCATTGCCTGCCTGGCTCCTAGAGTTAATGCACTGTATGCAGGCATCTAAGCCCACAGATTCAATCTCTGGTCCAGGGTCTGAAACCCATAGAGGAACATCTGGCTGTCCACTCTGAGGGATCCCAAATAGAACAAAAACTGGCCGTGGGGCTCCCTTCCTTCTGGTGGTCAGTGCTTCCATGGGGAATTCTCGTTTAATATTGTTGTAGGTCAAAATTGCACTGTCCTTGTGGCTGGACGTCGGAGTGGCCAGGCCGCTCTGCTTCTACAGATGTGAACGGTTTGCAGTGTCGTTGCCATGAAAAAGCAGTGCTGTGGATCTCCCAGGGAACAAAGCAAAAGGACCAAGATGATGAAGGGTCTGGAGATAAAAGCCGGGACCAATTTCTAAATATGTGAGGCCTGGCTCTGTTGTCATCAGACCTTGAAATAAGAGCCCTCAGGGTTCCTGGTTAATGGCCTGTCATCCATCCCTAATTGGTGGCATGCTTTGGTCTTGTCCAAGCTACTTGGCTGCCGTGGCTCTGTGTGTGGTCTGCACCTAGACTCATGGGTTGTTTGTAACCGAGAGGGGAGCTTTTCATCCTGGGAGGAGGGGCGCTTTTTAGAAACAAAGAGAGTGAGGAAAAAAAACTGCCTTTCATCATCATAGCTGCAGTGGCTGGGACCCCATTTGGGTCCTCACCGGCTCTTCGTTGCTTGAGGAATGTGAATGAAAAATAAAACGAGAGAAAAAGACTCACCGGGTTCTGCTGTGGTGCCCACACAGGCGGTTAGAAGAATAACACTGGCACTCAAAAACCTTGCAGAAACCACCAACAGATTATTACAATCACGTGGCATCACCGTAGCACAGCACATAAACCGGAACATCCAAAGTAAACCAAAAGACCCAGCAGTCCCAGAAGAAAAAAACAGAAATCTTCTACATCATGCAGTACAAGAACTGCAACAGCCACTCTGTAGGACAAACAGGGAGAAGACTAGCAGAGCACAGCCATCCATGCAGATCAAGTAGCAGTCAGAAGACAGGATGAAAAAAAACTCCCTTTCACAACATACGGACAAACCTAACCATAGTTTCAGCTGGGGAACTATGAGCAAGAAAGCACCAAGAACTCAGCAGGTCACTAATATATAGAAAGAGAGCATGCCCCCCTAACCCAACCCCCCCCCATTCCCTCCTGGCCCTGATGATGTTACTTAGTTGAGTCATGAAAGGGCTGCAAGGAAACAACCAAGCTCAGAGAGCAGTGAGGATCCCATCGTTCAGCCCTGGGGTACAAGTAGCATCTTCCGTTGGTATGGCTTCCGTAGTTCCTTTTCTCTGGATTGTCCCAAGGACAGTAATCCCAGTGTTTCCCCATTTCCTGTGCAGGGGCTGAAACCATTCCTAAACTTTTTTCCACAAGAACATTCTCAAGCAGTTTGATTCTCTTCCTGATTGTGATGAGGTTGTTTCTTTTCAAGCCAAAGCTTCTGCATCAAGTGGTGGAGCAGCTGGAAAGCATTCACTTTGTTACGGACACACTCTCAAAGGGGGAAACAAAATTCATGGTGAGTCTTTTTTTTTTCTTTTTCCTAAAAGAAATATTTTGTGTGTCTTAAAAAGTCCTGTCTTTTAGGGGACTCGTCTGGCCTCCATGATGGCTGGTCTGTAATCTTCTGACCAGAGGTGGTTTCATGAACACCTTCCATCAGACTTCCTGGTGGCCAACCTGATTGAGATGCTTTGCCATAGCTGGCTCGGTTGCCTGGAATTTGGGAAGATGCCAACCCCACATAAGTAAAATGTGTCAGATTGCAGAATGCTGAACTCTGCAAATGAGTCAGAAAAGCCCAGAACTCTCTCATTTTTAAAAAGCTGGTGAGCTTAGGACTCTTATTATTGTAATTATATATATATTTCTATTCTATTCTATTTTCTATGTATTGTATTAGAATTGAGAAAAAAACTCTATAAAGTTTAGCCTCAGAAGGACTTTCAATTACATTTTCAGCTTTAGAAGTATTTTGGCTTTGTTGTTCAATAGAAAGATGCTAAGGTGGAGACATTTTTGCTGTGTATATTGGGAATGGGAACTACATCAACCCTTGTCTGGTACTTCCCCGGTGCTCCAGGATCTTTGAAAGAGAGAGTTCAGAGATTCTGAGATCTCGTCTGCCAGTTCCTTCAGAACCTTGGGGTGTAATCCATGTAAGGTCCTGGTGATTTGAACTCCTCTGTAATGGATAGGTGTTCTCTTAGAAATAGTGGTAAACTGAATTAATATCCAGTTGATTGACTTATGGAAGAATGCTCTAAAAGATTTATAAAATTTGCTGACAAGTTTCTTGCTTTTCTGTACTTCTTATTTGCCATATTAGAAAAAAGGAGACCTGCAATTAATTGTTCCTTGTTTTTCTGGTTCTAGGGTGTATGTCAGCTCCCAAGTAAAGATGATGACACCGTCTGTCCTTACAGGAGAATTGATGTCCGGTAAATCTCATACAGAGCAATAACACCTCCATATGTCTACCTTCGCCGCCTCAGCCACTTGTGCATCAGCATGCACCCTCCCCAAGCCTTGGGTGTGCGTCCTTCACACTCCCATGCACTCTCACCAAGCTTACAACACCTCCCTTGTATCTTCACACACACCCCTTGCACCTTCATGCTCCGTCCTCCCACAGACTCCCCAAGCCCCACTGTGCATTGTAAGCATTGTAACCAGTAAATGTCGCAAGACGAGGACTACCTACCGATGTCAGTCCCTCTCTCGACTGTGTTATAGGTTGATTCCCAAGGATCAGTATTACTGTGGAGTCCTCTACTTCACCGGAAGTGACCTCTTCAATAAGAACATGAGAACCCATGCCTTGGAGAAGGGCTTCACCCTTAATGAGTACACGATCCGGCCTCTCGGCGTCACTGGTAAGTATCCTTCATTGTCTGACTCACAGAGCTTTTTGGTCTGAGTATAATGCCACCAATTCCAAATTTTGCTCAAGCAAAGCCGTGTTGCATTGTCTAGTCCTCATAAGAGAAGTTCAGGATGAGGAAAAAGCTTCCTTGTGTCAAGAAGAAGGAATGCTTCGGTTGATGGGTGTTTGTTAACACTGCTAATAGCAGTCCAGTCCTTTCGTTCTCTTTCCCTGCTTCCTGTCCTTCTCCCCGTAATGGTTGGTAGATGGTCTGAAAGATCTTTCCTCTGAAACAGGGGTGTCAGACACAAGGCCTGTGGGTCGAATCTGGCCCACGATATGGTTGGATTTAGCCCCTGGGGCTGTCCTGGAAAATGTAAGGGACCGGCCCATGTCACTTCAGCCCGGTTTACCCAGTGCGAAGAGGAAACATGCCAGTAGCATGGGGAGTGGCATCATGTGGACAATGTCCACCCAGGTGGCCACACCCACCCAGTCAGCCACACCTGCCCGGCCCCCCCAAAGTCAACCACAGCCCTGATGCGGCCCTCAATGAAATTGAGCTGGACATCCCTGCTCTAGAAGGAAGCAGAAGCTGGCACTGTCAGACCTGTGCAAGTGGAAGCTGTTTCCACAAAGCAACACTGCCTGTGCGCCTCAGACCCCCTCTTCCTCCTGTTCCCTTAACAGACCTTCTGGCCGGAGAATTGGGGATCTCTTGCTAGGGTAGTAACCAAGTGGATCTCTCTGGCTCTGAATTGGCAGGAGTTGCGGGGGAGCCACTCCCTGTGGACAGCGAGAAGGACGTCTTTGACTACATCCAGTGGCCGTATCGGGAGCCCAAAGAGCGGAGTGAATAGCCTGGCCCCCACCAGGCCCTGGAAGGAGCTTTCCCAAGCAGAGCTGGAAGCTGTCCTGGGATTAGACTTGATTGCTCCGTCCTGTAGTAGAAAATAGGGGGGGAAGAGGGGGGCACGGCAACATAGGTTTTTTTTTTTAACCTGTTTTAAGTGTGCAAGTCAAACATTCACCGTAACCAATAAACGGAAAACACTACTGGCTTGATTTAAAAAAGAAGTTCAACCTTCTTATCTTCCTTTTAAGTTATGAAGTTTCTAATTTCCTGAAATAATTAGTAGCAAATAAGGACGTAAAACCCTGTAGTGAGAATTTCAGCTTTGCTGCTTCCTTAAAAGTTGTCCTCGTATCGGGGAGTTGGGACGATTCTGCCCACAAGAAACCTCCTGGACAAGAATGTGATCCCTGCTCCAACTCTTTCCTTCACCAAGCGGAGCAAGTGAGTTGAGATGTTACAAACCCTTTTGGTTTTATTTTAAGCAGGTATTTCTAGTGCTTATTCCAATTGCAGCCAAGGAATAATCATTGAAAAATACGGATTTAATTTGTTTACTTTCTTCTCTCAGAAGAGCTGCTGTTTCAAGAAAATTGTGTTTTCAATATTTTGCGGAAGACTTTGCTAGAAAGCATCAAAAGCTTGTAGGTTTCCTCTTCGGTTGAAAGGTACCAGGCCGGTTGCACGCAGGGGCTCCGAGCCAAGCATTCTCGCCTCAGGCATGTGCACTTCATGCCACTCTGAGGCGACGAGAGAATGCAGAGCTCAGTAGATCTTTGAAGTTGCATTTGGGATGTGTCGGAAAGGTCTCACGTTACCCATGGCTGCCGCTGCCACAGCAGCAGCACCATTCAGCCAAAGAACTGAATCAGGTGAGGGGCTTAGCCCAGTCAAATTGTGAGGGAACAGGTGGCAGTTCAAAGAACTGAGAAGCAGATTCTCTTAGAAGCCTCCGTGTTAAAAATGCTCCAATGCTATTTTGGAGGTTTGTTTAGGCACACGGAGCAGATATTTCAACTGGACATGATTTCACAAGTACCCTAGAATTCACCGTTCTGCTTTCTGAGCATATCTAGGCTGCCGTGTTCAATACTCCTCTCTCTCCCTTCATTCCCATGTCTGCCTTAGCAGCTAAGGCAGTGTTTCTCAACCTTGGAAGCTTGAATATGGCTGCATCTTCAAGATGCACTGGCTGGGGGATTCTGGGAGTCCACCTATTTTCAAGCTTCCAAGGTTGAGAAACACTGAGCTAGGGGACTCCGGAATCTGTCCCCAAAAGAAGGAGGCTGGGAAGGGCCTTTGTCGTATCAGAGAGCTGATGCCCAAGAGGTCCATCTTCCCTGTGCGTTATGGGGAGGGACGGCTTAAGAGCTCCTGCTGCTGCTCCCCAACTTCTCATGGGGGAAGCAGAGAGGGGTGACAGGGTATCCTTAGCTATTCCCCCATGGGCCAGGCATTTCAGCACCCAATCGGTAGTGGGCAAGTACATTCTTTGACAGGTCATAAATTGAATCACATGGTTGCTAAGCAAATCCATTCTTCCAAATGGTGTTGTGTTTTTTTTTTTGGCAAAAGGGTCATAAATCATGGCCTTGTGACTGTAGGATATGGCAACCCATCACAACTGTGAGCCAGTTGCCAAGCGCCCAAAATGCAGTCACGTGACTGAAGAGGGCAGTAGTCGTAACATTAAGGATGGGTGGCAGGCAACTATTGAGAAATCCGTTGTAACTTTCACTGGACATAAGTAAAGGACTGCTTGTAAAAACATGTGCTGTGCATTGTTGCCAAGAATCAAAGCAGGTGGCCACTGCCTTTCCTTTCCTCTCCCCATCAGCATTTGAAGGGAGGGGTTGCATTTCAAGGAAAAAGGTCTGATCCCAGCCTTCACAAACCCTGGCATTGATTGTGGCTGGTTTAGACATTAAGAAAAAGGGTTTGGTCAGCAGAATTACTTCTTTTCAAAAAAACGATCTTGCCCCTGCTTGCCCGTTTTGGGCCTTTTCAGTTCCATTTCTCACTGATTCCAAAGCCACTGGCAGAAGAGGGGGGGAAGAGGAGGATGAAGGGGGTGGAAGCTCCAGGAGAGAGGGGGGAGGGGTGGCCCTCGGCTGGTGCAATGGACAGCAGAGAGTAACGGCCTCATTTGGCTCAGCAAATCCTCCCCCTCAGGGAGCTCCCACCAGCCTTCTTCCCTGGAGCTCTCAAGTTACTGAGTGGGAGGAGGGGCTTCTTCCATTGCATTAGGCCAGGGGGACCCAGACCCCAGATCCCAGCCCGGTACTTGGCCGTGGCCTGTTCAGAACAGGGCCATGCAAGCAGCAGGCGAGCGTGCACGCACAACTCCGTTTGTGTAAGTGGCAGGCACTCGCGCCAAGGGAAGCTCCAATTGTGCGGGTGGTGGGTGCATCTGCCGCTTATGCAAATGGAGCTTCGGGCACCTGCCCACCGCTTGCACAAATGCCACTCGCATGGAACCATTTCCTCTTCCTTCCCTTTGCCCAGTCTGCAAAGCTGGAAAGGTTGGGGACCCCTGCATTAGGCCCCATCAGGGTTAAAAGAACCAGGGAAGCACTTCTCTTTATGTCTGGCCCCAAAAGAGAAGCAGGGGGAGAGAATCTTGCTCAGATCTAGCCTGCTTATCAGCAGGTCTGGCATAAAATGGGCACTTCTGAAGGAACTGCGGCTCTCCTTCCGTGGTCTTTTGTCCGTTCGTGGCATGACAGGCTGCAAAAGTCAAACGTTGACTGGCTTCCTGCCTCCAGCCCCCCCTCCCCCTCCCATCGCAACCCTACCAAAATTAATGCATTTTTCCCCACCACCAGCTGCTGCTGAAACTCAAAAGGGGGAGAAACGAGGAGGAATCTGTTGATCGCTTTACTTAGAGTGCCTTGAACATGTAATCAGGACCCCCGACCCCCGGGATAAGCCAGGTCAGAGACAGGAGCAGAAACGGGGGCAGCAAAGTTCATGCAAGTTAATTTTCTGCCAGCTCAAGTACGGCTGTAACTCAGTGACGAGTAAAGTCCTAAGGGGCGCCATGTCCGTGAAGCCGGGTGCGCAGCCAGCCAGCCCCTTGTGGACTGATCCAGGCGCGCTTTGCTTTCCTTCGGGCTCCCTCTGCTTCTGCCCTCCTCTTCCAGGCTCAGGACCTCCTTAGTTGCTGCGGCAGACACGCAGGCGAGCTCTCTGTGGGGCGCCCCGGAGGGGCCGTTGACAAACCAGGCCGGCCGCGCAACCACAATGCTGGAAGATTTCGGGGCCTGGCGCCCCGCCATCCTTCTGCCCTCGCCCGGAACACACGGCCCCTTCGAGGAGAACAGGTTTGCAGATCTTGGCCCAGAAGTGGCGGGCGCAGCAGTGCCCTTGGGCACATTCGGAGGTCCGGAGGCAGCGCTCCCCCGTGCCAGCTGTGAGAAGAGGCAAACAGGGGTCAGGGGTCTCCTAGAAGCGAACCCCGATTCTGGAGGCTGCATTGCTGGGTGACAGTGAGGTTGAACGGTGCCAGAGGCGGGTGACACCCGGAGACCAGCCACTTCCTCAGGCAGCCAATCCCTCTTTGCAGGTGGCAAGGCAACAGTGCCCCCCTCCCACACCCTGTTTTTAAGAGCAGTGATGAGCTGAACTCGGACCAAGGGGTTGCCACGTGGCGTAGACTAGTCTACCTCGCAGGGCAGCGGTGGAGGTGGGAAAGCTGAGTTTCCTGGAACACCGTCCCCCCATCTGGCCTGGCCCTCTTCGGGGAGGTGGCAGGGTCACCCCTACCTCCTGAACCTCCCTTTGGACATTTCCCCTGGGGCAGCCCAACTTTCATCATCGCAACCTCCCGGGAGGCAGTTTGGGGGAAAGTGGCCGGCCCACAGCTCTCCCAGTGGCTCCCCTAGTTAAAGGGAATCTTGGAACTGGCCTCTCTCCGTCGGATCCTGCATCTTAATCAATAAGCCCCATTGCTGGTTTGTAGCTTTGTGGACATGCCGTCCTATAGTTCAGCGAATCATGGCTTGGGGTGTTACCTGACTGAAGCCCTGCTGTCACCCCCACAAGACAAGACAAGCCCCCCCCCCACATCTGCATGCAAAAGGGATTCACTCCTGGTACATTTAAGATTTAATGCAACGGGGCCACATATTCCCCATGGCCAAATTATGCATCACCCTTCCCCCAACTTGGCCTCACTGGAACAAGATCGTTTTAGGTTGAAAAATTCCAAAATTCTCTCCATAAATGATTGATCTTTAAAGACTCTCCTATTCTTCTGGCTTTTTCTCCCCCTCCCTCGTGCTCCCTCTCTTACCTGGGCTACGTGCCCTCGGCCGAGCTCCTTCCTTCCGGACATGCCCGGCTTGAGCTGGCCGTGGCCATCGTTCCTTGGCACCCAATTCAGCCTGTCTCCCGTCTCTCTGCTCCTCAGCCAAGGGCATCCTTTCCACCTGGGCACACACCTCTGGCATCAAAAAGAGGAGCCTCGGGTTAAAAGGGCCAGTTGCACTGAACCCAGGAGAGGTGAGGGAGGGCAGCAGAGGCTTCCTTTGCCCACACCTGCCCCCCCCTCACCACAGCATTCCTCACAGCCCGTGTGGGAAGAGGCTCAGCGTCTGTGAGCTGATGGGTGCGCCTGACCTCCGTCCTTTTGGCGTTCCAAAAACGGTTAGAAAACCCTCCTCTGCCAGCTCTTTCCCCTTTCCTCTTCCATCCCGTCACACCCAAGACCAGCTGTTGATTCCTGACGGCTCCCTCCGACTGTAGGCTGGTGATCCCCAGGTGGGTTGGGATCACAGGATTCCCCCCACACCCATCATGTGGATCACAGGTGGATCCTCTGTGAGAGATCAGACTCTGCCCAGGTGGGAAGCAAGTGGATGCTGCCCGTCCCTTCCCCCGTCTCGTCTCCCACCCCCAAGCCTCGAGGAAGGCTCCTGGAGGGGCTGCGGTGGCTGCCACTTACCATTGATACAGATCGTACCCGGGCAACACATCCCATTTCCCTGGCATCTTCTTCGTAAACCCTGGCAGGGAGCACAGAAGGGCAGCTGCTCCTCTTGGGGCTTGTAACAATATTTCCCCACCCGGCAATCTTTGTCTGTCAAGCACTGTGTGCTCTAGAGAAAGGAGGGAGGGAGGGTTGTTAGAAGACCCCCTGGGGCAGGGGAGAGAGACAGAGAGAGAACCAGCAAGATTCAGAGGTGCCCAAGTCTTTATCCAAGAGCTTGCCAGGAAAAGGGGGAGTGGGGTGCTGGTCTGAATTGGGGAACAGGCCAGGGAATACAAGCTGGTAGCTATCCGAAGGGGATTCATAAGAGGAAATGAGAGTGGGATCCCTTCCCCCCACCCCAAGCAATGCTGACCCTTTCTGCGGGGGGGGGGGGGGGGGCCCTTTTTCTTCTAAAAAACCCAGAGGGCCAGAGCAGGAAGGGCTGGGGGGCAGCCTCTTAAATTCCCCCCCACTTTTTTTTAAGTTAAATGGTGTGGTCCATCTTAGCTCAAACAGACATGCCCCCACCATGTTTTCGTCCCCCCCTCCCCAATAGGGCTACTTAAGTAAGAGGGAGGGAAGTCTGCCATATTCAGCAAGATATCCTAAAGCAGGAGAGTGGTTGGTCCCCAGGCTAAACTCCTCCTCACTCCCAATGTTTGCTTCGGGAACTCATATTTTAGCTAGCGGAGAACAGCTGGATGGTTCCCTAAGCAGACCCCCTCCCCTTCCCCCCCCCAGGACAGAAAGGGGGGGAGAGAAATGAAGGGAGCTGGATGTGCGCAAACCCCTGGCCTGAAAGCCAGATCCCCAGGGCCAATTCACAACAATATCCAACGTGTTCCATGCATTTCAGACTCCTGAGGGAGTCCTCAGCGAGACCCTCCGTGGTACCAGAAATCTATCCCAAATTAGACTTCTCCTCTCATCTGACGCAGTCTTTGCAACTCGCTCCCACAAAACCTCTCACCTTCTTGGAACCGGACACTTCAGACGAGCCCCTGATGGTATTGAAGTCAAGAACCAGAGCGGTCAAAGGGGAGCAGAGGCAAGTGAGCCCCAGAAGGAAGGTGGCCTCCATCTTCTGCCCTGCAGGACTTTGGTGGTCCCTGGAGATGCCCCCGTTGGTGGTCCTGTTGGTGGTCCTCTGAAGCCCTCCGTTCCCAGGGCTAAAACTTCCCTCTGTGGTACCTTTAATGAAGCATTTGGGCCACGTTGCTGTCAGAAGGATGCTCTGAAGAGATGAAGGAGTTAAGCTGCCTCGGGGGCCATTCCGCCACCTTATTTATAGTGACCTGCTTCCCTTTTTCTTCCTCTTTGGACCCCCCAGTCTCCGAAAATCCCTTTGATCGCTACTTCAAAACCAAACATTCAAAGGGATCTGGAGGGAAGGAGGCCAGCAGAGGCAGCTCCTCCTCCTCCTCTGCCAACAATCCCTAATTACAGCGTATCAAAGTCAGTTCAAAGGGCCAGAAAGAGAGGCGGATGTAGGTATCAAAGGCACCTGTTGGTAATCACCTGTATTTCCTGGTCTTTGTAATCCCTTGCAAAAGTGGTTTTGTTCCGAGATCTGCTTTCACAGCTGACAGATGATTCACTTGACCACAGTGGGGTGGGAAGGAAGAGGAGACCGGGCAACACGGAGCGTTTTCAGCTTTCGGCAGCTGCCCAGGAACACCTGCTGCAGCCACCGGGGTCCCACTTTGAAGGAAGCGCTCCTTCCCTCGGCCACTAATGCTGCTATTGTTTTCAAGAATTAGGAAGACGCTTCCTGGACCTTTCAGGGCTTAATACCAGCCAAATCCGAGGTGACATAGAAAAGACTGGATATCGCAAACTGAAACGAAACCGTTTGACCTGCCAAGTGGTCAACTGTCTCCTGCTCTTAAGCTCAGCCAGACTGGGCCACAAGTGGCCTCCTCCCTCTGCTCCCTCAACGTTCAAAGTAAGTCAGTGGGGAAGAACCCTCCCATCCCATCCTGAACAGTCATGTCTCCCTTCAGCCAAAATTCATTTCCTTGGTGGGTCTGCAGATCAATCAATCTGTTTCCCACTGTTCTCAAGGGAACTTTTCCCATCATCTTTACTTGGTTGATGTTTTGCCCCCTTGGCCTCGGTGCCACTTCAGGCCCTCTTAAACTAACCCCGTGTGTATTAACCCTATGACTAAATCAACATCACCGCTTTTTAAATCCTAAAATCCCCCCCCCCCGGTGCTTAGCTAAGTTCAAATCCTACGGATTCAAAGAGGCCAGACATTCGGAGTTCCTTCTCCAAAGTTAGGGAGAGGTGACTGCAAAGATCAACAGCTGTCCACATCACAAGCTGTTTTTAGCCCGCAATGCCAAGGCAGGGGAAGGAGGGAGGATTAGTGCCCAATTGGACATTATGTCCAATGTCTTCTTGGTCTGGGGGGGGCTCTTCCAACGCCTCTCAGAGCAATATTCCTCTCTCCCACTTATGCTTTCATTCATCCCTCTTCACTTGGTTGCTCTATCACAGCCTCAAAGTTAAAGAAATAATTCCTAAATTAAATAATTTTCTAAAAATTGTTCACTGAATTATTTTTTTAAAAACGAGGGGGAAAAGAGTGAATGACCAAGTAAAAGATCATAACTGAAATTTCCCATTGTTGTACTCCAACTGATGTATGATACATTTAATTTTGGGGTATGTGTTTATATTGACATTTTCTTGTTAAAAACAATATTCTAAATACTGATATTTGGTTGGTTATTACCTATAAAACCCTTTCTGACACGGCTCCAGGCTACTGGAGGACCTGTCTCACCCCAGTGGGACTAGCCTGCCCCACTTGTGCTGGCAGAAGGGGCCTGCTGCTGACTCCGTCGACTGAGGAATTCCAGGGGAAGAGCCTTCTCTGCCGTGGCCCCTGCCCGCCCCAGGTGAGATCCTCCCCCAACTCCCTTGGCCTTCCATAAAGCCTTAAAACCTGGCTCTGTCCATTGGCCCAGGGCCTGAATGGGGGAGGGTCATCTTGGAGGTGGCTGGTAGAGTAGAAGATCCTACCTGAGGGCCACACAAGTTGGATTAGTAGTATCAACATGGACTTTGTAGTATTATTGTACTTGCTAACATAGTTATTTTGTACTTTAATTTTTCTCTCTTTTTTTAAATGATAATGGTTTGATTGTTTGATTGATAAGTTCTAACAGCCCTAAACTTCTCTTTGTTCCCCAGGTCAAGATAGGATGGGATGTCTGGAGTTTGTCTTCTGAGAAGAGAAAGCCTTTGAGCGCTAATTGGTATCTGGCGAACCCCAAACCACCTTCCATGACTTCTTTTCCTCATGAACATTTTAAATGTAACGTCCCTGCTTTCATCAGATCTCATTTAAATGGACATGTGTGTTGTCACATGTAATATGTTTTAACTTGTCAGCTCTACCATCTTCTCAACGCTTCCTGGCATCCTGCCATAAATGGAGGGAGGGGGCAAAGGAATTTGGGGACGTTGTGCAGGAGGAAAGGAGGAGGATGTAAGTGGGGAGGGAAAGACAGGAACCAGAGGGGTCAAATCAGACTAATCCAGCCTCCCCAAGGGTGCCTGGCCTGGGAAAGAATGTGAAACCTCAAGATGTGCCTAACATCAAAGTGGTTCCCAAAATATTAAACCGGGATGCTATTGGCCACTGAAAATCTGGACAAGGAAGGAGGGCCACAGAAAAACATGTAACTTTTGCATTTGAATACGCAGATCTAGCCTCACTTTTGCTGCAACCACTAACCCTTAGTAAAAGAACCTATCCCTTCAACCAAATGGAGTCGAGGGTCTCTCTTTCCTAGGGACCTAGCTGGGGCAGGTCTAATCTTAGGCTAGGAATGTTGGCTCACGAGAGCGACCAAGAGGAGATTGAGGCATGGAGACAACCTGCAGCTAAGCCCCATGGCTGCCACTTGCACAGCCCAATTCCTAACAGGCCATGGCCCAGCACCAGGTCACGACCTGGGGGCTGGGAACCCCCGGTCTATTAGATATTTTTGCCACCTTGAGCTCACAAATCACAAAAGGTGAGGCGTAAATAAACAAACACACAGAACACAGAGACTTTTGCATCATACAATTTTTAATTAGAAAAATGAGGCTCTTCTTGCCTTAATCCCATGAGATGTAGCCGGCCCTTTCTCTTGTAAATCTCTCAAGAATCTGGGAATACCCCCCTGGGTTTGTGTTGCTAGGCCTGATCTCAGGTATGGGGTATTATGGGATGGGGGCTGAGAGCGAGAGAAATGTCTCATGGCCTTAGAGGAGAAGCTCAGCATCTGTAGCCAGCAGAAACGTCAGAGAGCCGAGAGGGAGAATTCTGAAATCCAGAGGAGCAGCCCTTAGCAAACGGCCAGCCGGGCCTGGCTGGATTCACACATTCCTTTCTCTCCCACCCACGAGCTGCTTAGCTGGCCACCCCACAGCAGAGAACTGAAACCCCCTTGACTTATTCAATCCGTCCTAATAAAGGAACCGCAGCCCCTCTGCCCAAATCCTTTCTCCCAGCTGCGCGGTGGGATCAGACAACTGTTTCCAGAGCAAGATCTCTGATCTCCTTCCATCAGATAGGATGGGGATTATAACTCTGCTGGCCAGCTGAGCCCACAAAATCCCCCCTCCCTCCGCCTTCCTGCAGCGTTTTCTGCAGGGGTTTTAAGCTCCCCTCGGCCCCTCTAGGGCAGGGGAGGATCACGCTGGCTCAGAGCCCCCTCCCCCAACCTCAGGAAGAGAGGAAGGGTCTCCAGCCAAGCAACACAGGGCGGCTCCTTAGGCCTGGCTACATCCCTCTGGGCTTGGCCCACAGTAAGGCCTTCCGGCTAGTGGTTGCGGTTGAGGTAGTGAGGAGTTTCAGAGGTCCGAGCGCTCAGGCCCCTGCGGTGCCCCCTCCTGCGGGTCAGCCTCTTTCATGTTGGCATAGGCCACCTCCTGGGCCAGCTGAGAGAGGGAGGGGCGGCCCAACACCAGGTTCCGTAGGGAGATGCAGGTCATCAGAAGGCTGTGGGCAAAACCAGGGAGACACTCTCAGGAGGAGGCACACAACACAACCCAAGCTGAGCTTTTCCTGTGTGTGAAGAGCACAAGGAGTGTAAAACAGCACATCTCACACAAAAGTCTGCTTTGGGTTGTTGGTTTGTTTTTTTGCTGATACCTAGACTGGAGAAGACGATACTTGCTAGATTTGCCCAAATTTAGGAGTTATGGGAGATTTTCATCTGTTAATTTACAAGAAAGGAAGAAATCGTGAAATTGTTTATACTTGGCATGATGAGGGTGGGAATTTGCTTTCTTAGGTTTTTTTCTTTCTATTCTTTCTATTTTCTGTTTTCTTGCAGCTTTTATTCTTGCTTTATATTTTTCTTTTAAAGTTTGCAAGATCTTTTGACTATTTTAATAAAAACTTGTAATGACATTATTTAATACAGAGAGAAGCACCCAGCAGGACCTCCCCTCCGCCTCTCTCACCTCCTGCGGAAGACGAAGTACTTCTTGCTCACGAAACGCTGCAACCGCTCGGCCAGGGTGGCGTTGCGCCTCCTTTGCCGCTCCTCCATGCGTCGCTGGCGATGGAGGAAAGCCTCAACGACCGGATCTGCCTGCGTCACGTTTTCCAGAGAATCTTCCAAGATAGGCTGCAACTCTGGTGGGAGAGGCTCCGTTTCTGCGAAGAGGGAAGCGACAAAAACAGAAGGTGAAGCACCTTCTGAAAATCAGGCAAGTACAGAGAATAGAATAAGAGAGTCGGAAGGGACCTTGGAGGTCTTCTAGTCCAACCCCCTGCTCAAGCAGGAAACCCTACACCACTTTGGACAAATGGTTATCCAACATCTTCTTAAAAACTTCCAGTGTTGGAGCATTCACAACTTCTGCAGGCAAGTTGTTCCACTGATTAATTGTTCTAACGGTCAGGAAATTTCTCCTTAATTCCAGGTTGCTTCTCTCCGTTGCTTCTTGTCCTGCCCTCGGGTGTCTTTGGAGAATAGGTTGACCCCCTCCCTCTTCTTTGTGGCAACCCCTGAGATCTTGGAAGTCTGCTATCACGAAGTAATATTCATGAGGAGAAAGCCACAATGCTGTGCTGATACAGTGAGGGCCTGTCCGGGCACCCAGCTGCTTTGCAGGCTTACCTGTCCCGTTCTGAACTTTCTCCCGCAACTCCTGAAGTTGAGTGAAATTCCGCTCAAGTGCCACCTGAGTGGTGTTGACGTAGATGTACATGTAGCAGGAGGGCTCCTGAGAGACTGTGTGGACTTTGTGGTACTCCCCAGCGGGCAGCTGTGACCAAGAGAAAATGGCAGAAAGGCTCTGGGCAGCCAAAGGCAGCTGGGAACAGCCCCAAAGTGGGGGGCTCCCTTCCTAAGGGCCAGGGGAGCACCAGCATCTAGGGCTCTTCTCAAGGTGGTGAGTCATTTGCCTTCCCAAATAGCTCAGCTTGCGAGAGAAACTGGCACCTGAAGGTGCAAAGGGCAATCGGACTCCAACTGGCAACAGGTGGACTGCCTGGGGGGGGCTACAGCTAGCTGTGCAGATGTGTCTATATACAGATGTGTATCTGCAAACAGTAGATCCATACACACACACACATGCGCACACACGTGGATTGATGGTGCCATGCTCCTTCCAACCCTTGGCAGACTCTTTCACTGGGCAGGACAGGGAAGCCCCTCCCCCATCTTCCCTTCCCTTCTAGCAAAACTGTGGAATCTCACTGCATCGTCATTGTGAATGGTGAAACACAGCGCTGTTGGGATGTTTCTTTAAGAGGCAAGAGAAACCTTCAACTGGTTCTTTGGTTCGGCAAAGGTTACCCCAGTCTTCCATCTGAGACCTGGAAGGTATCACCCAAGATCTTGCAAAGGCCAGATCTGAAGGTCACACCCGGCCTATAGGGCTGCCCTCTCCTGATTTCTCATGCTGTTATGAGTTCCTGTCCCGTAGAAGTGGGGGAGATGGTGTTACCTATTTCCCCTCTTCTTTTGGGGGGGGGAGGGAATCAGTGCATCAGCTGCACAGGAAAATGTTCTGCCCACACGACATTCAGCCTGGCCCTCACCTGGATCTTGTCTCCCTCCTGCAGTGAATAATTCTTCTGCGAACTGACAACCTCCACATTGACTTCCCCTTTCAGCAGATGGAGACTGGTGTTACCAAGATCCTCGCTCACAAAATTCTCCAGGTGCAGCCCTGCCATGGGAGGGGAGGGGATGGGAGGGACAACCAAAAAGTCAACAGCAAAGACCACGGAAGCACCCAGCTCCTCAGTTCTTCCCACATCCCAGCAGCTCCCCCAGCGAACAAGAGTTAGCTCTGCTCAGCCCCAACCTGTTACTTCTTTCTGAAGATCTGCTACACCATGTTTGAGACCCCTTTGTTATTAAATGACAAGGAAGAGGGTTGCTGGAGGCAAGCTGAAATAAGGAAGCATGGAATCCTCCCCCCCCCCTTTTTTTTTTTAAACTTTGCTGAAGAAACATAAGATAGAAAATGGTGGCTTTATTTTGCTATTTTTAAGTAAACTGTAGCTTTGGACTGTTTTGTTGTGGGTGGCTGAAATTTTCTGATTTTTATGAATTCTGATTGGCCAAGAAAATTTTATTGAAAAATCTACTCTTTGACCACAAGAGGGAGCAATAGAATAGAATAGAATAGAATAGAATAGAATAGAATAGAATAGAATAGAATAGAATAGAATAGAATAGAATAGAATAGAATAGAACAGAACAGAACAGAACAGAACAGAACAGAAACTCGGTACCTGGGAAATCTGCAATGAAGACAACCTCGGTCTGGTTGTCCAGCGACTTTTCAATCTCCGTCAGTTTGGTCCTCCAGGGTGACAGATCAATCAGAAGAGGCTTCAGCCACGGGGTCTTCTGGAAGGGGGACCAGTGGGCCTGGACAATATCAGTGTTTGGGTCGAAGAGCCTGGGGGAAATAGGAGTGAGAGAAACATTAAATCCAGGGGAAACTGGCCCATGGGCCAATGGATCAGTGGAAAGAACCAGTCCATCTGCCTCTTGGCCTGTCTGAGCCCATGAAGCTACCCTATTTCCAGCTATCGTTTCCCTGGTTTGTGGGGGCAATAAGCTGACTTTGTATAAAAAAGAACACCGCTTTGGGGGGGGGGGTGAAAGCCTTACTAAGCAAGTATATACAAAAGTATGAAGGCTATTGCTTAACGCATTGTAAGCCGCCCTGAGTCTCCGGAGAAAGGGCGGCATATAAATCGAACCAATAAATAAATAACACCTTAAAAAATCTATGGGGAGGGACAAAACAGATAAATGCAAAAACTAATTTTATAGTTTGTATATTTTATAGCATATATATTGTAATATATACTATGGTGCCAATTGGCCTAACTTTATGTTTTAAACATTATCCAAGATTTGATCTCTGTTCCTCTTTAGAACTGAGTGGGAAGCAACATCCCCATCTCTAGACAACCCAACCTCTTCCCATAACCTGCCCAAATTTTCAGTAATCCCAATTTTGCAACTTTTACGTTTCCACATGACAAATTCCAAAAAGAACACTTTGCTCGGAAGCAACATTTGTTGAAGATTCTGTAACTAAATCACATGTTTTTTTAACAAATCAATGTAATAATTGGGCCAGTTTGCAGATATGTATGACTGTCGGCCATCTCATTCACTAACCTTTGCTGGAAACGATCGTTGATGGAAACCCAAACATCGAAGTAAATCTCTGGTTCCGAGACATTGTAATTACGCAACAAATGACTGAGGCAGCTGGCATACTGCTTCAGCATGTCTGCATGGTCCTTCCAGCGCCGGCTCTGTGTGAAGACCTGCTCCAATATATACAGATCTCAGCTGGAAAACAGGTGCGCAGGTGGCAGAAGGAAGGACAACAGAGGAGGGGAAAGAAAGAAGGATGCACAGCATTGGATGGGTCATTGCGGCAGAGCCTGGGGGTCAGACCTCTAAGTCCAAATCAGAAGGGTAACTTCCAAGACCGATATCAAAGGCAATAGACATATTTCACTGGGACATTTAGTCCTGACTGCTAAATAGGCATGGTGTTTTTGTAGGATATGAAGCTTTGTTCCATAGGAAAGCTAGAAGGAACAAGAATCTCAATTATGGGTTGCCCAGTAGAACATTGTGGAGAGAGTAATAGGACAATGTCTATTTACTCAGTCTATATTTAGATATAAGTATGTACAGATTAACCAGCGACTCTGTCCTCTGGGATATCCAAGTCCTCCTCCTCTTCCTTCAATACAAACGTGCTCATTCCGTGGCCATTCCATTCCATTGGATGGAAACTCCAAGGACGGCTGCAATGAACACACAATTGCCCTCAACCCTTATGCTGGTATGATTCTCCTTAAGATCATACAACATCTGGCACTGACCCTCGAAAAGAAATTGCCAGAAGTTCAAGCTGGCCTTCAGAAAGAGTGTGGCACTAGGGACCATATTGGAATCAATGCAGGACCATGGAAAAAACTCAAGACTATCAAGAGAAAACTGCTTTATTGACCATAAGAGAGCCTTCAATTGTGTTGAAGAGCCCCAGAAGATCAGGGGATGCCAACAAATCTGGTGAAGTTGAAACCTATTTCAGACTTATCCCCCAGCATCAGCAGGCCAGAGAGCAAATTGGAAATACTGTAATAAAACTACCCTTCTGGCAACAGCCACAAGGGAGAGAGCTGATTCTTCACTGGGCTAATTTTCAGTGCTTGCTCCTACGATCCATCCTTTCGGAGAACAAAATTCATTGGATTATATTATTATGTGAAGGAGCTAAATAATCTGGAAAAGACTAGTTAGGAGCCCATTAAATAAAGGGAACGAAGAAGGATTAGCAGGAATGGAAACAAGGGAAGGAAAATCCTTAACAAAGTTGTTCAATTTCTTGGACCCATAATATACATTTTTTGAGAAGGTCGGGCAGCCTTTGGATCCAAGAACGTACATAAAATTGTACCCAAAAGTCAAAACCTCTGCAGGCACCAATGGGAAGGTTTTCCTCTTGAAGACCACTAAAGAAATTGTCTCCCCAAACACAATCTTGCCCATTTATTGCTTCTGCATAGAAAGTTATACAGACTCCATCACACTCATAACACATGGCTCTTTTACAAACACACGTGCAGCAAGCAACCTGACGTGCGACAAACCGCTGTACAGCACAAAAGGAATGTTCACACCCTTGTTTGAAGAAGCCATTGTTACTCCAGATTGTATCATTTCAGTGCCCATTGCAAAGAAAGAGAGACTGACCCCAGGGTTCAAGTAGCCAATCTCCCCAGTGCGACCATCACGGTAAGTAATCTTCACGTGTTGGTGGGAGCGTGAATGGACCATCATGTCCCATGAGTAGCCGTACAGCCCATTTGTCCAGTTGTTGTAGCCCTGCAGGGAGAATTGTTAAGGGGAGAGTTGATTATTCCCAGAATAAGCAGCACCTTCTGTTCTATTCTTCTCATGCCTTGGAGAATCCCCATAGACTCCTTGGGGCTATTTGGGGTACTAAAACTATACAGAACTAGAACTCAACCAGGCAGCCTTGATTCAAGTTCAGGACCTGCCCTTTCTCTTCCGTGGCTGGAATATTACTAAGAGGAGGACACAGAGAAGGTGTTTCTCTGAGGGGCTCCATCCTTTCTGTCCATTGATGAGCTCCACCTTGCCAGGGTCAGAACTATGGAAAATGTCATCAATCAAATATGTCAGCCCCAGCCTTGTGACGGTACTTGGGGCCGCTATTCGTCTGGGGATTGCCATTCCGCTGCTGCACACGTTCGCCGATGACACTTTCTGTGTGCCTGCTCTCCTGGGTCGTCAGCCCCGAGGCATGCCTCTCCCTTCGACTTCCCAGCCGCGTGCTAGATGACGTCAGGGGCATGCACTGAAGCAGTTTATTACCATCTATCACTTTAAGGAAAGACGGAGCAGCATGAAACAACTGAAGCGGCTTGCGATTGGGGAGGGAGAGGGAGAATAATTGGGTGATTGCACTGGGATGGAGCTGTATGCTGATTAAAAGGTGATGGGGAGCACGGAGCATCAGCTCCAACAAAGATTCCTTTCTGTAACACTTTAAGTTGGTCAGTTAGTACCAATGTCAGGATAAATAAACTTAGTTACTGCTTTTGCGTGCTGAGATTTATTTTTCCAGTCTTTACGGAACCTGACATACTACCCATTCTAAACCTTTTGGTTCAAAAACCACTTATACTTTAAAAAATACTTAGGTTCTTTCTCACCTTGGTAATAAAGTGTGAGTAAGGTAGGAAGAACTGCTCCAAGATATACAGAATGGTAAAAATGGCTCCCAGCTTCTGCCGCAGCCCCAATTTCCTAGCTGCTCCCCTGGGCCTTTGTTGCTCCGTTTCCAGATAAACACACTCTAGACTCCGCTGCGGAGGCTTGGTAAGTGGCAAGAACTTTTGGAAGCAGGCAGGGAACCTGGCAATCAGTCGGCGTGGCCAGTCCGGATAGCAGAAGAGCGGGCTGCTGGCCAGCATGGTGTAAGAAAACATGCCTTTGGGGTGAAAAGTTGGAGTATGATGGAAGGACAGGTGTAGGAGGGTCACTTAAAAGTCAGATCATCTGCTTTGCATGCATAAATATCTGGACACCCAGCATATTCAGCTGTGCTCAGGAGAGACATTTCCTGTTGAAATTGTTTCTGGTCATGTGGGCAACCCAGACCGAGATTTATTTAAAACTGCCCTCCTTTCCTCCAAGAGCTTAAGGCATCTCAGGTGGGCATCTCCCTACCCTTTATCCCCAAAAGGCCATCTCTGTGAGGCAGACTGGGCTGAAAGTGACTGCCTCAAAGACAACCACAATTGTAGGCTCAACTGAACCCGAGTCTTCTAAGTTTTAACCCAAGGCGTTACCGCTACAAAAAGTGGTACTAAATCTGTACCAGCAGACAATACAATATAAGATAATCTGCCTTTAACAAAAGCTTCTTCGCCTAATCTTGCGGAAGGCATCATTATTCATTCCAGAACTCACCAATATTGAAAAGTTGGGAATTCATGCAGTGGAAGTAGGAGACGAAGAAAAGGGCAAAGGGACGGGTAGCATCCAGGAACAGCAGGAAGCCAGCCGTAAGGTCCAACACCAGCCCTCCACCATGCACCACCAATAAACTGGTCAGTTCCTCTGACATCAACAACCTGAGGGACCAGAGAGATGGCTTCATCCAAAGTTGCAATGTCCAGGAGGGAGGAAGAGGAAGGAGCCGAATTCTCCGACCCGCCTGCTACCTTCTCTGCCTGATTTCCATCACTCACCTGAAAGGGCTGAAGAGCCAATGCCTCCCAAGGGAGCCCATGGAGTAGCCCTCCACCCAGTCAGCATCCAGCTTCTTGATGCCCGCGATGAAATAAACAATGAAGATCTGTTCAGAAACAAAGGCAGCAAACATGGGACTCCAAGGCAAATTAGTCGGCAAAACTCACAAAGCAGCAGCCGGCGAATCACCAGCCACAGGAAGCAGCAGGCAGGCTGCCATTTCCAAACCAGCTTCCAAGTTACAACTTCCTGCCAAAATTTCCACGGTCAATTTCACCATCAAACCTCTTCAGCCACAAATGACCAAAAAAAAAAAAAACCCCGCAGGAGTTTGGAATGTCACATTGAAAGGCATGGGAACCAGAACTTAGAACTAGAACTTAGAATAACTTTATTGTCACTTTGAATATACACTGACTGGCATACATTAAAATGAAATTTCATTGCACACAGCTCTCTGAAAGGGTCACCTCCTCCAATATACACTACATAAACATGACAAAATAAATAAATACAAAATTATGCATATACCCACATATACACTGCTCAAACAAACAAAGGGAACACAAGCAGTGTATAAACTACTGTATGTAAAGAAGAAAGTATTTAATAAGGCTATTTCATTCATTCAGATCTCGAATGTCTTCTGCTTGTGTTCCCTTTATTGTTTTGAGCAGTATATTATATAACACAGAGAAACAACACAAATGGGGCAAAGATGAGACAAATGGTAAATTTCATTTCATGCTGTCCACATCCACACTTAACCTAAAATGAAATAGCAGCTCCCAATATATGTAATAATTTACCTATTCTGTCATCTTGAATATCACAACTGGATGGCAACTCTGACAGGGCCTCTCACAAGCCTAAGAACCCAGAATCGCAGGAAGGTAAGGTAGGCCTGGCTCCTTACCGTCCTCCAGGCTTTCTCTGGGTCTAGTGGGATCCACAATACATTAGAGCTGATGGCTTCCCCATTTCCATATGGCCTCCTGAGACTCTGGTGCCAGCATGTAATGCAGACCAAGCAACATGAGCTGGGAGCTATTCATTAGCCCTGTTTGCTCTTAGAGGAAACCAAGTTCAAAGATGGGGAATACCTGCATACGAAGAACGGTGTAATTCCACAAAGGGACATGAGCATTTCTCTTCCGTGGATGCCAGAGACCATCGACAGACCTGGGGAAAGGAAGTTCATTAGCAAGAGTAGGAACTGGAGGCAGTCTTGAAAAGCAACCAACACTTCAGGAATCTCTGGAAAAACCTTTGGGTGAATTACACCACCAAGATGTTCTAAACAGCCCAGAATAACCATCAGGCACAAAAAATCAGGACCATTCATAAGGTTGAAGAATAGAAGATCTGAATAATATATGCCTATAATATACATATATTATATGCCTGGTCAATTAAAGTTCAGCACTAAATTGGCGTCAGTTAAGGGTCAATGAAATTCGGGAAGGATTGAACTTGGAGCGCTTTTGGGGACACAAAAGCTCTAAACTGATGACATACTTAACTCTGCCCCCAGCTCTGCCTGCTCTTCTACATTCATCTCACTGAAGCACAAAGTTTACTAACAGTTTTGTTTTATTGAAAGTAAGTATTGGTTTTTAGGTCAAAATTAGAAGACAATAGCATTAATTTCCTCAGTCATTAAGAAACCAGCTTTCTCTACAGTTTGAAGATGGTCATCAACAGAATATTAGGATTTCATGCACGCTGCCCTTGGTTTACTTGAGGTTCATTTCCAGCTCATGAAAACACAGAAAATTGTGAAAGGACACAATGTGATCACATGCTGGAAAGGCCTGCAAGGAAGATAATGCAGATACTGGGAGGAAGACTTTATGGTATTAGTTGGTGGCAAGGAAAAGGAAGGACAAGATGAGAATCCCGAAGGAAAGTTCCCACCACCCAATCTCAAGGGATGGGAGAAAGCTTCATCTTTGAAAAACCAGTTTCATTTTTGTTATAACAGAATAACAGAGTTGGGAGGGATCGTGGAGGTCTTCTAGCTCAACCCCCTGCTCAACAGGAGACCCTAGACCAGTGTTTCTCAACCTTGGAAGCTTGTAGATGGGTGGACTTCCACTCCCAGAATCCCCCAGCCAGCAGCGCTGGCTGGGGGATTCTGGGAGTGGAAGTCCACCCATCTTCAAGCTTCCAAGGTTGAGAAACACTGCCCTAGACCATTTGCAATAATGGCGAATATCTGTAGCTTGGGTGTAGGATGAGGATGGAGCTTCATTCTCTGAGCTTCTGGGTTGGTTTCCGAATGTTTCGTTCGGTAATATCTTCAGCGGAGTTTAGGGGATGTCAGTGTCGGTGTTCTTCTGTTTATAAGGTCTTCAGGTGTGTCAAGTGAGGGCCTTGTGATGAGTCACAGCCGAGGACTTCGTTGATGTGTTTAATTCTTTTTCTTTTCCTTCTTTGTTGCTAGGCAAACCTTCAGCCCAGTATTTACATTTTGGGCTCCAGTGGGTGGTGGAAATCAAAAGGTAAATACTGATCTGTGTGTGGAGGTTTTCTGTAAGCTTCCATGTTAAGGCTTCTGTCTTCCTTCATGTATTCTGCACCATTCAGGAAAGCCAACCTATTTTCCTTAACATCTTCCTATGAGAACTTAATGCATTTGTCCACAGAGACGATGAGTTGGGTGAAGGCTTTCACTTCCTGTGTTTTAATCTTGATCGTCCACATCCCTATACCAGTGGAATTTGGTTTCTACCTCTTCCCTGTAGAGACTGGTCACCGTGGGGGACGCAGGTGGGCTCATGGCACAGCCGTGTTTTCTGTAGAAACCTTCCTTGTATTTAAGAGGAAGTGATCAGGTAGAGGTCCAGCATGGCACCTGCCCACTCCTCCTCCAGATGCTGGCTCACCCTGACCTTGACCAATAGGAAGAACGCTATTATGTCTACTAACTCCCCTCTCCAAAATCTCCCCTCCTACTTTCCCACACATGAGGAGGTGGCAGCATTGAAGCTTCCGGCCTAACATGGCTTCCAAGGCTGACACGTGGTTTGGTTGAAGTGCTGTTTTGTAGCAGTCGTTTCTTCACTATCGTGACAGCTTCCGTAGTTGGCAGGCAGGCAGGCTTTCTTCTGCTGCGTGTGACTCTGGCGGGCTCCAAACTGGGGCAAATGTCAAATTTGAATGATGCAACCGGAATGGCAGGAAACATGTTTACTCGGCATAGCCTTGATCTGAAGGGGAAAAAAAACACCGGGTGCCTTGCCCAAGAGCGAGGAAGCCTTCCTTACCAGTAGCGATTCGCGTTCATGAAGAGCAGCTGGAACCCCAGGAGGCCGTAGAGGTAGGAGTGGTTGTTCCAAGTGGTTTTGTCCAGGAAGAAGATATACCAGTAGGGCAGCACGAAGAGGAGGCAACTCAGTCGGTAAAAGCAGCCCAGCATGATGCCCACGGCCCCTATGGAAAGAAGCGAGGGGGGCGAGAGGGATTGTCCTGAGGCTTTCGGGGGCTCAGGATCAACCAGACAAGCTCCAGCACTTTCTTGTGAATACTTTTTTCTGCTTTATTTTTAACATTTAAAATTGGAAAACCTCGGCTTCATTTTCAGTACGGCAAGTTTATTTATGCAGCATTCAACTAATTGAGAGAAAGACACTTCATCTCCTCACCTCTTTATAGCTTTTGGACAAGACGCTGGGATACAACGGAAGAACAATCCGTTAATTGACGCTTGCATTACAAGCCAAGGCCACGTCTAATCCAGCCTGTAGCTACACTTGTAAGCCCTCCCCACAAACCACTCCTTGAGTTAATCGAGGGATAGATTTAGGCTTGGCTGCTGCTCTCTTTATGGCCGGCAGCGGGTAGATTTTATTTACTGCAATTGTCTTCTCCCTCTGGCAAGCTGGAATGTCTGCTGCTCTTCTGGTCTTGGCTGTCTTTCCATGGGGCCGCTCTGGAACAAGCTGCCTATCTATGGGGCCGCTCTTGATTGCTGGTGGATTTCAGACCAGGAGTGAAATCTACTTACCTTCCCTACCGGTTTGGAAGTGTGCGCGCCCACGAGTGTGTCATGTGCAATTTTGGACCCTCTGTGCATGCGCAGAGGGTAAGAAACAGGTTACTTCCTGGTTAAAACCAGGAAGTAACAACATCCGGGTAGGTGGGCGGAGCCTCGTGCTGCCGCCACTGCCAGTTCTCCGAACCACCCGCCGCTACCAGTTTGCTCAAACCGATGCGAACTGGTAGCATTTCACCCCTGCTTCAGACTATTCTGGAACCAGTAAATGTTCAACAGCCAGAGCCGTCCAGATTTTCTAGGGTTCTCCAACTGCCTTCTTTTCGCCTTATAAACTGCAGCGCCCTTCATGCCAAGCAACCCGCCTGTTTCCCCTCTTCCCCAGCCCCACCTTGGGAGAAACTCTGGGGGTTCCTGTTTGTTGCACTGCCTGCCATTTTCTCAGGCCTGGCTTTTCACTTCCAACTCTGGGGGAATCACAGAGCGGGATGGCTGAGGGGGCTTGATTGCACCTGTCACCACGGACCCTGGGCAGCAACACAAATTGCAACGAGACCCAGCAAGGAAAACAACACAAAGGTCAGGAAGCCAGAGGAAAGGGGCTCAGCCAGCATACCCACATTACCCCCCAACCCCAGTGGGCTAAGGGTCCTCACCCAACAGCATTATTGTGTAGACAAGGTACATCCAGTCCAGGGGAAGTGGCTCCAGGAAGTTGAAGAGGGGGAAGCGACAAACTTGCAGCCCATCCAGGTATTTGTGATCTAGATAGCTCAAACCTCTCTCTTGGGGAATGTCCAAGGCCATCAGCAGACCTGCAAAACGAGCAGGAAAAGGGGCAGTCAGCAACAGTAGCAGGCCAGCCTCTCTGCATCTTCAGGACTGAGGCAGGAATTCACTAAACAGGAACTGGAATGATCCTGGCCCAAGATGTAATCCTTGAGTGGCTGGAAGAGTTCTGGAGAAGAGCTACTCAGTGGTTCTGCACAACCACTGCCAATCAACTGGAATGGAAGTGACCGTAAAAATTCTCTTAGCCCAACCCCTGCCCAGTGCAGCCATACAAGGAGGCTTGAGATGGACTGCACACACCCTGTCCGTGATTTTCACCAATGCTGAAGGACTTATAGGTATATATGTCAATCTTTCCTAAGGTCAGCTGGCAACCAATTTAGCTCTCATTTTGTTCAGTTCCCAGAAGTCAAATAACCCCACCCATCTGGCTTGTCTTATTTTCTTATTCAAGGCGACGAGGCCGCCTTATGTTTGCGTAGGGGCTGTGATCTAGAACCCCCACCCCTATGTCACAGAGCTGCTTTAATAGGACAGCCATGACCCTCCTACTCAGTGCTAATCTAGAGTCCAGGACCAAGCTAAATTGTTCAGTTGCAGGCAGCAAGGCTGAGATTCAATCTCCGCTTTCGGCCTCCAAATGTAACTGAAAACCATCCCAAAGCAGTTTCCACATGGACGTTAAACAGCACAGGACCTAAACTTCTGGGTACTCCACACTGGAGCAACCACAGCCAGGACTGCATAATTTGCCTGAAGCCTCCTGCTCAGAAAGGAGCAGAGGCATCGGCAGAACATCTCCAACCTTCTCAAGCAGAAGGACAGCATGACGGAGGACACTGGATGCTGGTAAGAGGTAAAACAGGACTGGGAAGGGTATACTCTAAGTCCTGATGATGGTCATCCACCAAGAATGGGCAATGCCGTTTCTGTGCCAGGCCCAGGACAGAAATCTATTGGAAAGAATCCAGAAGATCCATTTCCTGTAGAGCTGAAGCCCCACCAACTCTCCAGAAACTTTCTCAGAAAGGGAGGATGGAAGGAAGTTCTTCATCCAGGATGGAGATGACCTCTTCTGAAGGTCTCCTTGTCTCCTTTCAAGCCAGATGGCTGCACTCTCCTCCTGCCCCCAGCATTCACCACCTCCCAAATCCAGCCGCATCAGCTCTTCCAAGGATCTGGCACAGGGGGACGGTGCCCTTTCCAAAATGGCTGGCTCCCCACAGCATGATGCAATCCAGACCGAACCCTTGGAGTGCTGAGCGAACATTGTGTTAACTCTTCCTCCCACAGACAATAGCAGGAGCCTTTTCCCTTTGTCAAGAAGGAATCCCACTTCTTAGATCCACATCATGTTTCCTCGGATTTCTGCCCTGACTTTTGGGGAAGAAAATTGTGGGCGGTTTTTCCTAAATCAAGTACAAATTTGGGTGTAAATCCTCCCACTGGATTCTCGGTGCCAGGCCCGGGTCTGGACGGAGCCAAACTCACCAAAGAGGAAGCGGAAGGCCCCCAGGGCTGCGGGATCGGCCGGCCTGTTCAGCAGGCAGACAACGCGGTGCCAGCCGGCCACGTCCCCATATTCGAAGCCCAGGAGGCGCCTGGCCCAGCTGGGGGGAGCCCGGGCCCCCTTCTCCTTCCTGGGCATCTGCTGGCGGGCGGGGGTCGCCGGCCTCTCGGCTCCTGGAGCACCAACAGAGGAAGGCAAATGAAGGCGGAGGGAAGAATCCGTCTCTCCTTGGGGAAGAGCCACCCCGGGGGCCCCCGACCTTTCTGGCTTTGGCGGGGGGAGAGAAGCCCTGGGGCCGTGCAAGCCCGCTTTCCAACGGGTGGCGTCCCGGGGTTGGGGAGCCCTGCTCTCCGGTGCACCCATTGCAAGACGCGCAAGACGCCCCCGAGGCAGCCTGTCCGGGAGCTCCAGCAAGCCGCGGCGAGCGTCGCCTGCCAGCCCCGGAATTTGGGGAATTGCGCGGCCTGGAAAGGATGAGGCGGCGGCGACCCCAAAGGCCGCCTCCATCCGCGGAGGGCGCCGGACACAGCTCCCCCTGCGCCTCCGCCCCCCGCCCGGCCCCTTGCGGGCCAGGCGACCCCAAAGCCCCCTCCCCACCTCCACCTGCGGCGAGCGCGGCGGCGCCACCCGGCTTCATCCCGGCGGTGGCGGTGGCGGCCCTCGGAGAGCAGCGGCTGCAGTGAGCCCCGCGTAGCCCGCACTTCCGGCCGGACGCGCAGCCCAAGGCCGCTGGCCTTCGGCCGAGGGAAGGGCCCTGGCGCGCCCTGGAGGCTCCGCTCGGGAAAGGCGCAGGGCCGGGCCGGAGAAAGAACCGCGCTTGCGGCGGGACTCGCCTTTTTCCAGCTGCGCCGTCCCTGTTGCGGAAGCTCGGGCGCCTCTGGATGCCGGCGGAGACCCGGGCTCGCCCGCTTGAGGCCAGAGCAACATGGGCTTTCTTTGACCTTATATTATATATACTCTTTTCACCGCTTTGGCCTGTGGAATGGAAGGCAGAAGCACCCAGATCTCTTGTCACTTTTTAAGTGCAAAAGAAAGGACTTTCTCCGGATGAACAACAAGGGATGATTCAACTATGTACCTTTTTTCAGTTGGCTGCAACTGTATCTTTTCATAAGGGACTCTCTGGTGCCCCTTTTCTACTTTAATACAACGCTCACCTTTAATATTATGGGAGGTTAACTGTCCAAGTCTCTGAGGCAATTGGGCAGGATCAGTCAGTCAATCAACCAGAATAGAGCTGGAAGGGACCTTGGAGCTTGGAGGTTTTTTACTGCAACCCCCTGCTCAACCAGTTCAGACACGGGGCTGTGCAGACCAGGGGTGAAATCCAGCAGGTTCTGGAGAACCGGTAGCGGAAATTTTGAGCAGTTCGGAGAACCGGCAAATACCACCTCTGGCTGGCCCCCGAGTGGGGAGGGAATGGGGATTTTGCAGTATCCTTCCCCTGCCACGCCCACCAAGCCACGCCCACAGAACCAGTAGTAAAAAAAATTGGATTTCACCACTGATCCAGACTCTCCTACGTCTGAAGGCAAGCTATTCCACTGGTTAATTGTCCTCACTGTCAAGAAGTTTCTCCTTAATTCCAAGTTGCTTCTCAAAAAAAGCAATAAAAAAAACTTGATTAGTTTCCATCTGTTGTTTCTTGTTCTGCCTTCTGGTGCTTTGGAGAATAGGTTGACCCCCTTCTTTGTGGCAGCCCCTTAAAATGGAAGACTGCTATCATGTCACCTCTAGTCCTTCTTTTCACTAAACTAGCCAAACCCAACTCCTGCCACCGTTCTACATATGTTTTAGCCTCCAGGCATTTAATCATCTTAGTTGCTCTTCTTTGTACTTTTTAAAATTTTAATAATCTTTTGAGGTGAGAAAAAGTCTTGCGCAGTTATTATTCCTGGAAGCTTAAAGCCGAAAACTTTAATAGCTGCACATTCAGCAATTGTTTGAAATTACAATGGCCATGAATGAGGGAGATTTATGACTGGTCCAATTTGCAGCACTTGCTGGGATCACAACCCAGGCACTTGGCAACTAGCTCACATTAATGATGATTAATGTGGTTGGTCATTGGTGTCTATGTTAAATATCACAGGAGCTAGTGTGCTGCCCTCTGGAAGTCTGTTTCTTTGGATTCTTCATCAATATGTTGTCAGTGAAAGTTGACATTAAATCTGATTTCATAGTAGGCATCCTGTAATGTTTGTGAATTTAAAATCCTTTGTAAGATGAAGGACTTCCTTCAACAGTGCTATATGCTTGGCTGTATTGTAAGCCGTGGTGAGATTTATGAATGCCACTCCTGTGATTTTTTTTCTCCAATTTGAAGCTGTCCATGTATTGTGTTAGGTTGAGAATTTGGGCTGAATGGTTTTTGCCTGCCCTGAAACCAAATTGCTGAAGTATAATAGTAAGAGCTGCATACTCTACTTTCGCAGACAATCGGTTATTTCGGTTGTGTCCTTTTGTGACAGATGGAGGAAAAACTACAACCCAGACCTTATTTTTGTAAGTGAGAATGTAACTTAAAGTCGGTAGAGATGCCAATACCAAGCCCCCAAGGTCAACCTCTTCTATGTGAGATTACAGCTGCTGCCCTACCACAAGTTGTGAAATTCCAAAAAAGGCACAACTGGAAAAGGACTAATTGACCCAGATTTTCTGTGGTCCTGGATGAAAGCGTGCTGCACATTAACCCAGACACCTGCATTTTACTACAACTGTATAGACGCCATTCAGAAATGCTCCAGGAAATGTATTATTCCTCAAAGTTGCAGGATGTCCCGTGTCCAAGGTCTAACACATGAAACCACTGATCTATTGAAGCAACATGTTACCCATTTCAAAGGGAACCCACTCAGTGAAGATACTATTAGACTTGGACAACAGGTGGTGCCAACTTGTTTCAGGGCACGAAAGGGAAAGGTGGACTAAGGTCACGGAGGAGACAGATATGAGACATAGTAGACATAGTAGACAAAAAGCATGGAGTTTACTTCAGCATCTCAACAAGGCTACAACCAAATGGTCCTTATATGCCAAAGTCTCAGCTAGCCAAATTGCCCACCGGCTACTCTTCCAACCTATAGAAACATAAGCAGAGGACAGTCGGGAAGAGCCATTTGACTGTCCCTTTATTATAGGGGAGCTGGAAGAGCCAACAGGCAGGTGTAAGGAGGGCAAAGCAGCTGGCACAGACGAAGATTCGGCCGGGGCAGACTAAACATTTTGGACCTAAAAGAAGGGAAGGGTTACTCAGCCTCTGTAGCAGATGCTTACACCCTATTCAGGTATGCAAGGCATGGAGGGAGGCTGGGGTGGTGGCCCTCCCCGAAAGCTCCTTCTTCCAGCCCCTTTGGCAAGGCCTCAGAGCCCCCAGGCAGCCTCCCCTCCTGGGAGACGGAGCTCCGTTCCAGGCTTCATCACGGTCCTTCGGAGGAGCTCCAGCCTTCAAACTGCAACGAATGCAAGAAAAGCCGGTGCCGGCCATTGTCCTGAGGGGAGCGCCAAGGCCCCGAGGCTTCCCCGGGAGGCCTGAAACCGGGGACCCTCCGGGCTCCCGAAGCGGCTTGGATTCCGCCGGATCCTTCCGGGGCTCGAGAGCCGACGGGGGCGGCGTTTCCCTGGCGACTGGCCCCGGGCAGACGGGCCTCTGTCGGCCGGAGAGGGAGGGCGGGCCGGCGGCTGGATCCGCCCAGGGCTACCTGCGAGGAGGTGGCGGCGCGGCCGGAGGAGGAAGTAGGACGCGCGGGGGGGGGGAGCGCCAAGGCTCGGGAAGAAGCTCGCGGGGCTTCAGCGGGACGCACCACAATGGTAAGCCGCTCTCGGAGGGGCTGGGAAAGGCGCCGCCGGCCTCACCTGCCTCGGAGGCGGCGGGAGTGGGGTGGGGGGGAGGACCGCGCCGCCATTGCGCCCGACGCCACCCGGGCGGGGCCGGCTCCGGGGTCCCCCGTCGAACGGGGCCGCCTGGCCAGCCTGGCGCTCCGGCAGCCTTCGGAAGGCGCTGGGCGGCCGGCGGGGTAGAGGCGAGGTCAGCGGGGCGCCCGGAAGGCCGCTGGAGCCGGGCAGGGGCAGGGACGAGAAGGGCGGGTCGGCCAGGTCGAGAGGCCCAGGTGAAGGAGGGGGAGGAATCGGCGGGGTGAGCGCCTCGTCTCGGGGCGGCTTCCGGGGAGAAGCGCCGTCTTGGCTCGCTCGGCTCTAGTTGGTAGACAAATAATGCACCAACAGCCCCCACACACACCTCTCACCCGGCCCCCTCGGCCCCCGACCGTCCCTGCGAGGGCGGCTGCAGAGGGAGAGCTTGGCCGGGGCTCCCCCGCTCTTTTCCACCAGTTGGCCGACTTCCTCCCTGAGGCTTCGGCCGCTTCTGCTGCCCTTCCCCGTTTCCTCCTTTCGGCTGATGGACTAAATCAGCTGGAATTCAGAGCCCACCGTAGACGGGTTTCCCTTCACCCAGGCAAGGTGGCTCCACGCAGCTTTCCTTGTGGAAAGCAGCCCCACTTAGACTCCTCTGCCCCCCCCGCCCCCCTTCTCCTCCTCCCCCTCCCCCCACGTTCAGCCGAGGCCTGGCTCAGGTGAGACCAGCCGCTCCCTCCTCGTCCCAAAGGAGGAGTTTCTGTGGGGAGCAAAGGTTTCGGCTTGGACCCAAAGCCAGCAGGAGGCAGCTGAAGCAGAGGCTGCTCACAATAACAGAGACGGAAGGGACCTTGGAGGTCAACTAGTCCAACCCCCTGCCCAAGCAGGAGACCCTACACCAGTTCTGAGAGATGGCAGGCCGGTCTCCTCTTGAAAGCTTCCAGGGATGAAGCTCCCACAACTTCTGTTCCATGGGTTGATTGTTCTCATGGGTTGTTGAATCTCTCCTGGATCAGTTTCCATCCATTATTCCTTGTCTGGCCTTCGGGTGCCTTGGAAAATAGCTTGACCCCCTTCCTCCTCTCTGTGGCAGCCCTCAAATATTGGAAGATGCTATCCCATCTCTCCTGGTCCTTCTCTTCATTAGACTAGCCAGGCCCAGTCCCTGCAACCGTTCATCGTGTGTTTTAGTCTCCAGTCCCCTAATCATCTTGGTTGCTCTTCTCTGCACTCTTTCTAGAATCTCAACATCTTTTTTATAGTGTGGAGACCAAAACTGGATGCAGGACTCTAAGTGTGGCCTTCCTCAGGCTGAAACTCTGGGCTTTTCTGAGTGGGAACAAGCCGAGGCAGCAGAGCTGATGCGAGAAAAGGGGCCTCCAAGGTGGGGCCACAAGGTCCCTATTCCATCCCTGGAGGACAAAATTGTTTATTTCCAACTAGATTTTATTTCTCCCATCTGTTTCTTATGATTAAAATCAGACTGGAGCAGCTGGCAGTCCAAAAACATGCAAATGTGAATGGATATATAGATACCACTTTGGTGTTCCATCTCCTTAGGGTAGAGTCATGTTGGCCACATGGCCACAGAAATGTCTTCGGACAGCTCTAGCTCCCTCAGCTAAGAAAGAGAGGTGAGCAGGCACGATTGGACGTGAAACTTTCC